GCCCAGCCAATTGACATCTTTATAAACCATAGACATCCCATTCAAAATCATGGTATACTCCCTAAGATTGGAATACGACAAGAATGTCCTCTCTCTTCACTTCTATTTCAACATGCGCTTGAGGTTCTAGCTAGGGCAATTAGGCAAGAAGAAGAAGTAAAGCCATCTAGATTGGAAAGGGAAAGTAAAACTATCTCTATTTGTAGACGGCATGATCTTGTAAATAGAAAATCCTAAGGAGTTCACTGAAATCTGTTAGTGTGAATAAATGAGTTCAGCAAGGTTATTTGGGTACAAGATCAACATACTCAAATCTATTATATTTCTACATACTAGCAATGAACAATTGAAAATAAAATTAAAACAATTCCATTTATAATAACATCAAAAAATAAGATACTTAGAAATGAATTGAACAGAAGAAGTCTAGGCCAGGTGCAATGGCTCACTGATACCTGTAATCCCAGAACTTTGGGAGGCCAAATGTGCAGATCACCTGAAATCAGGAGTGCGAGACCGGTCTGGCCAATATAGCAAATACGAAATTTGCCCATACTTATACAGCTAGTAAGCGGGGGCACCAGGACTTGGGCCTGGGCATGTGGCTCTGCTACAAAGAGGGCCCTAGAAAATAGCTGCGGGAAGGTGAGGTGAAGAACAGAGGGAAATGTAGCTGAAAGAGCAGGACAAATATATGGTGAAGTGTCTACATGGGAAAGCAAATGGGCTTAGGGATATTGAAGAGGGAGCAATGAGTGGAAGTTACACATAGGTGGGTGCTTTTCAAGCAAGAACTGCCTCCAATGGACTAGAGAGGCCCAGGAAGGCAGTGAAGACACCTAGCCCTGGGGAGGCAGAGGAAACTGATGGTTCCGGGGTCTTCTTGTCTAACTCTTATTCGGGCTGCTGCAGGGAGTTGGGGGAGGGTCTCTCATCTTCTAGAGGAGGAAACACACCTTTAGATGGCCAAGACCTCAGTTTCCGCTCTTTTTCAGCAACAGATAGCTAGCAGACCCACCTTTTCCTTCTAGGGCCAGGCAACCTGGGGTGGTAGACTTGGCTGGCTTCGCTGCCCTCCTATAGCAAGCCACAGTCCACAGCCAGCAGGAAGCTTGAGCTTGCCAATCTACAAGGGCCAAGGCAGGAGGAAAGAGAGCCAGAGGACAGGTGAGGCAGAGGAGCCATCTGAGTTCTCCCCACCCTTTCCCCCTTTCCTGGTGCTTTGCTCCTCCTTGGCGGAGGAGGGAGGGTGGGAGGAGGTAGGAGCAGTCATGTTGGAGAGCAGGCAAACAGATGAAAGACAACTGCTAAAGGAGTGACCCACTTATGTTAGTTGAAGTTTAGTGATGATATCCTCACTTGCAAAGCCCTTGAGGAATTCACTCTTTTTATTTTTTATTATTTTTTGAGATGGGGTTTCACCATATTGGCCAGGCTGTTCTGAAACTCCTGACCTTGTGATCCACCCGCCTTGGCCTCCCAAAGTGCTGGGAATAGGTGTGAGCCACCGCGCCTATTTTTTTTGAGACAGAGTTTCGCTCTTGTTACGCAGGCTGGAGTGCAATGGCAGGATCTCCGCTCACCGCAACTTCCGCCTCCTGGGTTCAAGCAATTCTCTTGCCTCAGCCTCCCGAGTAGCTGGGACTACAGATGCGTGCCACCATTCCCAGCTAATGTTTGTATTTTTAGTAGAGACGGGGTTTCACCCTGTTGACCAGGATGGTCTCGATCTCTTGACCTTGTGATCCACCTGCCTCGGCCTCCCGAAGTACTTGGATTATAGGCGTGAGCCACCGCGCCCGGCTGGAATTCACTATTAAAGTGGGGGTTCATCCTGACTCTTGTAACCTTGGTTACCTCAATCTTCATCTGTAAAATGGGTATGAGAACACTTCCTACTTTTTAAACTTTAAATGGATCTAGTGCTTGGACGACCAAAAAGCTGGTGTGAAAGTAGAGTGCCACAGGCAGTAGTCACTCAGTCTCTGCAATTTTCCAGTTGGAGACTTGGGGAAAATCACCTAAGCTCTTTCTGCTTCCATTTCCTCATCAGTGAAAATGAGGGGAGCAATAGCACTTGCTTTAAATGGTTATCTTCAAGGGTAAATGTGATTGTGTGTGTGTGTGTGTGTGTGTGTATGTAATTTTTCTTTACTATACAGACTCATAGCCAAGAGTGGTAATTATAATATAAAGTAAATGGTAGAGCCAGGCGCGGTGGCTCACACCTGTAATCCCAGCACTTTGGGAGGCTGAGGTGGGCAGATCACGAGGTTAAGAGATCGAGACCATCCTGGCCAACATGGTGAAACCTCTCTACTAAAAAATACAAAAATTACCTGGGCATGGTGGCGCGTGCCTGTAGTCCCAGCTACTCAGGAGGCTGAGGCAGGAGAATTGCTTGAACCCAGGTGGCGGAGATTGCAGTGAGCTGAGATTGCGCCACTGCACTCCAGTCTGGCGCCTGGAGACAGAGCAAGATTTTGTCTCAAAAAACAAAATCAAAACAAAACAAAAAACTAAATGGTAGAACCAGGTCTCCAAAGCACACAGATTTAATAGTTATACTCTAGATGTCTCAAAACCATAAAAACAACACATATAGTATAAAGACTAGAAAGAAAGACAACAAATTATTAACAGTGTTTGCTGGGTATGGTGGCTCACGCCTGTAATCCCAACACTTTGGAAGGCTAAGGTGGGCGTATCACCTGAGGTCAGGAGTTCGAGACCAGCCTAATATGGTGAAACCCCATTTAAAAAAATAAAAATTAAAATTTAAAAAAAGTGTTTATTTCTGTATGGTTGGATCATGATTTATTTTCATTTTTTCTTTTTTTGAGACATTCACTGTTGCACAGACTGGAGTGCAGTGGTATGATCTTGGCTCATGCAACCTCTGCCTCTGGGGTTCAAATGATTCTCATGCCTCAGCCTCCTGAGTAGCTATGATTACAGGTGTGCCCCACCATGCCCAGCTAATTTTCATATTTTTAGCAGAGACAGGGTTTCACCATGTTGGTCAGGCTGGTCTCAAATTCCTGACCTCAAGTGATCCACCCGCCTCGGCCTCCCAACGTGTTGGAATTACAGGCATGAGCCACTGCACCCAGCCTCATTTTTTATTTTTTTGAGACAGAGTCTTGCTCAGTTGCCCAGGCTGAAATGTAGGGCTCAATCTTGGCTCATTGCAACCTCCGCCTCCCAGATTCAAGCGATCCTTGTGCCTCAGCCTCTGGAGTAGCTGGGACTACAGGAGCCCGCCACCACATCCAGGTATTTTTTTTGGTCTTTTTAGTAGAGATGGGGTTTCATCATGTTGCTCAGGCTGGTCTTGAACTCCTGGCTTCAAGTGATCCACCAGCCGTGGCCTCCCAAAGTGCTGGGATTACAGGTGTGAGCCACTGTGCCTAGCCTAAGGTAAGAATCATTATTCCCATTATCCAGATGAAAAAATAAGGCTGAGAGAGGTTATAAAGTTGGCTTAAACTTCAGGTTTCATAGCTACTAAGAGGCAGACAGCCAAGATCTGTAGGTGGATCTGGCTGTTTCCAAAGCTAGGTGCTATTGTCAGGGATGCTGGACCATGGGGCTGGTATCTAGGACTTCCCCACAGCAGTCTTCTGATGGAAGAGTTAAGGTGGGAGGCTGTGAGGACTGGGCCTATGCTGGATGTGCTCTCATGGGTCTCCTCTGCCTGCTCTACTGGTTTCCTAGGTTCATATTCCTGGTAGAGGGCATGGCTTGGAAGGTGGACAGTCAAGGGGTGCCGTGGAGTCTCCCTAAGAAATATTTGTTTCGCCTGTTAGGTATCCTATAGAGCAGTGCTTCCTAACCTTTTTGGCACCAGGGACCAGTTTCCATGGACTGGGGGTGGCAGGGATGGTTTCAGGATGATTAAAGTGCTTTACATTTACTGTGCACTTTATTTCTCTTTTTACATTGTAATATATAATGAAGTAATACAGCTCACCATAATGTAGAATCAGTGGGAGCTCTGAGCTTGATTTCCTGCAACCAGATGGTCTCATCTGGGGATGGGAGACAGTGACAGATCATCAGGCATTAGATTCTCATAAGGAACCGGCAGCCTAGATCCCTTGCTTGGGCAGTTCACAATAGGGGTTGCACTCCCTAGGAGAATCTAATGCCATAGGAGGTGGGGCTCAGGCAGTAACGTGATAGGACAATAGGACGTGGCTGTAAATACAGATGAAGTTTCACCAGCTAGCCCCACCACTCACCTCCTACTGTGCTGCCCAGTTCCCAACAAGCCATGGAGAGCTACGAGTCTGTGGCCCAAGGGTTGGGGACCCCTGGTATAGAGGAACTAAAAATAATAGCGTAACTACAAAAGACTGAGGGATGGAAGTGGGTGTTAAGCAATAGACAGTGGCCAGTCCTGATAAATCCAGACATAGCTATGTAAGCATGTTATGTAGTGATGTGGAGGTAACCATTAGACCTGAAAACATCAGTGGCTTTAAGCAGTATCCCTGGATTGAAGGATGGAGAGGGAGTTCTTGCTTTTCATTGCAAGCTCTTCTCTCCTATTTGATTTTTTAAAAAGCTGTGTGTATTATTTTAAAATTATTATTTTAAAAGAACAGGTTTGTTTTCTGCTTTAGTTTTTTGGTATAGGCTTTGGGGGCATCTAGGGGATTCTAGGGGATTCACATCCCTTCCCCATCTAAGCTGAAATTTTATCTTCTGGAAAATAGGGATAAAAACCATACTCACCCCACGGAGTTGCTCTGAGGATAAAATGAGGTAATACATATAAAAGCACACAGACCAGAGTTGGCTGAAATTCAACAATAATTACTAAACGTTGTTATTATCAATAATAAACCAAATATGCAGGTGATACCGGAGCCCTGGCACATAGTAGGCACTTAATAATGGGTGAAAGTAGTTATTTAGCCCCTCATCAAGGCCTTATAATTCAGCCCCCAACCCGTGACACACTGGCCCCAAGGCTCCGAGTGAACACTTAAATATTGATGTGGTTACTCGTTTATTCATCACTCGGCTCTCTGCCGTAGAGTTCGAGGAGGGTGAGCCCCGCTCTCTGGCCTCCCGAGCGGCGGCCTGGCCGCATGCAGGTCCACTGCGCCGGGAGGTTGGAGGCGGCGGCAGCTCACCCGCTTCTAGGTCGCAGATGCGGGACGGTGACGTGGCTGGGCGGTAGTCGCTCCGGTTTCACTCAGGCATTTTCCAGGGCAGGGGCGGACTAGAGGAGGGGAGGTCGCGGCCCGGGGTCAGGGGAGCGGCAGGGGTCCCCATAACCCAAATCCGCGCCCAGAGGATGGCCATCCCGGAAGGGGCGGGCAGGGACCCTTTTAGGACAAGGGCTTTCCAGATCAAGGACTTCTAGAAGGAAGACGCGGGATTGGCCTGGAGGCGCAGAGCGGGTTTTTTGTACTGGCCGCGGGTGTCCCGCTCCTAGCAGGCAAGGCGGGGTTGCTTCAGGCGCCCCCAGTCAGGGGCGGGGCCACCGCGAGAGCCCCGCCTACCCGCTGCAGAGGCCGAGCGCCACCCCCTCCCGCTCCGGGCGGGTCTGCGGCTGCAGGGGCGCAAGCGGCGTACCCGCATCCCTGTCGCACCGCCACGCGGGTCGGGGCGGCGGGCGCGGGGCGGGGCAGGGGGCGGGGCGCTGACGTCGCGTCGCGGCCCGCGGCCCGGCGGGGCGGGGAGGCGGTGGCCGGTCGGCCCGACCCAGCCCGCAGCGGCGGCGGCACTCGGAGCCGGCTCCAGACCGCCCTCCGCCGCGGCGGAGTTTGCCTCCAGGTTCCGGAGTCTGCACCGCTTCGGCCGGCCCTCGCCCGCCGCTTCCCCGCCATGGCCCTGGTGCGGGGCGCGGAGCCGGCTGCTGGGCCTTCCCGCTGGCTTCCCACGCACGTCCAGGTGACTGTGCTGCGGGCCCGCGGGCTGCGGGGCAAGAGCTCGGGCGCGGGCAGCACCAGCGACGCGTACACGGTGATCCAGGTGGGCCGCGAGAAGTACAGCACGTCGGTGGTGGAGAAGACGCACGGTTGCCCAGAGTGGCGTGAGGAGTGCTCTTTCGAGCTGCCGCCCGGCGCCCTGGATGGCCTGCTGCGGGCGCAGGAGGCCGACGAGGGCCAGGCGCCCTGGGCCGCGGGCTCCGCCGCCGCCTGCGAACTGGTGCTCACCACGATGCACCGCTCACTCATCGGCGTCGACAAGTTCCTGGGCCAGGCTACGGTGGCGCTGGACGAGGTCTTCGGCGCAGGCCGCGCCCAGCACACGCAGTGAGTAGGGGGCGCGGGGTCACAGAAACGGCCAAAGGCCTAACCGGTCGGGGCTGGTGGGGATCAGGACCCCTGAAGTTCGGCTGGGCCGGCGAGCCCCTTCCCTCGCGCTCAAGGGCGTAAACCGACAGACACGTTCGCATTTCAGGGTCGCCTTCAGGCTCCCCGAACGTGCGCTGTGAGGGGCTCGGCCACTGGTGGGTCCCTGGGAGGACTGCGGGAGGTTTAAATGGTGGCGAACGTTAGGAGTAGATTGTCAAGTAAAGTTAGGAATGAGATCCAGAGTCTTTGGGGCTATGGAAACCTCAAGAAGGGAAATCTTGGGGCCATTCTTAGAACCTCCGGGCCTGCCTCCCTTTCCTCAAAGGGGAGGAGAACTGCGGGCACCTGTCCCTCAGGGGAGTGGAGAGGAACAGCATTGCCCCGCGGGGGAAGGAAGTCCAGGTGTCTTCCTCCAGGGTGAGGATGAATGTTGATTTCCCCACTAAAGGTAGATGCCCCTGCAGAGGGCATCTGCCTCTTGCGTGGCTCTCAAGATGCCCTCCACTATCTAGAGATGCCTCCCATGGATCCTGTCCCTCTGTGTCTTGTGTCCCTGGTCTGGGGACTGGAGGAGCTCCTAAGTAAAGGAAGGAAATGCTTTCCAGTGGCCTGCCTGCCTGCCCTGCCCTGCCTGAGTTAGAGGCAGCCGCATGGTTAATGCACAGCGGGAGATTATCTCCTGGTCACTCCACCTCAGTGGGCCAGTGGGTTTTTTAATCATTTATTTTGGCAGCATTTAACCTTGCCTGTGTTAAGATCAAAGCTTCAGCCTTGGAGCCCCATTTCCTGTTTTGGGCTTGGGCAGAAGCTGGAAGCCAGTCCCCAGGGCTGACAGCCTGCTGTGGGATCAGTCAAACGGTTAACTTCGGAGTGACCTGGGTAGGAGGTTAAGGGGATTGGGGCAGGACTGTGCCTTAGGTCTGGAGAGGTGCCGGAAAGGTTTGCCCCAGTGGCATGGCATCCACTGAGTAAATAAATCCAGGAAGGCTTGCTGGAGGAGGGAGATGAACCTGGTGAAAACCCAGATGAAAGCAGGATTTAGGTAGAAAGGATCTGACCTTGAATGTTTCCTGAAACGTGGGTGTGGAATGGCCTTCTTGGCTGGCTCTCTGTGGCCTGGGATGGGGAGGGTGTTAGTGCAGGGCAAGTTCCAGGCGTGGCTGTGACCTGACTCCCTCTCCCCATCCCCTGGCCTGCTCCCCTCCTTCCTTCATGACTTGCTGTTTGGTGGCTGGGTGTGGGATCATGTGGTATAGCGTGGCCCTTGTTTTTTTTTTTTTCCTCCTTTCTGTCCTCTCCCTCCTTCCTGGTTCCTAGAGCCCAAGGGGGTGGATATATGGGGCGAAAAGCTCTCCCCTGGATCTCTTACCCCATTCTTTTTCAGAAGAGGTGCCTGTCCCCCAAATCATTCTGCCCCTTCCCCCAGTCCTTCACCCTCCACCAATCAGCTACTCTGACCAGACTGGTAGATGACACATCTTTTCGGGGGGTGCTGGGGGAACAGGAGGAGGCAGACCAAAAAAAGGCTCCAGGCCTGCAGGGAGCAGCTTCTTTGTTTTTTCCAGTTCCTGCCCTTGCTTTTCCTCTTGGCCTCTGGATCTTCCTTAGCTGAGCTGGCCAAGCCTGTAGGTCCAGGTGGTCCTATTTTCAGCCAAGAACAGTCTGTCTTGGAGAATTTGACTTACCACCCCTTGATCCGAATGAGAGCCTTGATTTACTTTATAGAAATCATCTTTTCCACTGGGATCTTTCCACACCCACCTGGATGTTTTCCCTTATGTATGGACTTGATTTATTTATAGAACTGGGAGGGAACAGGAGTAAGGAGGGTCACTTAGGGTGGGCAGAGGAAAGTCTGTGAAGTTGACCTGGTCCTCTAGTTTACTGGACCTAACAACATGCCCACTGACAGAGGAGGAGGGCTGTCACCCCCACAGTGGTCCTTACCTCTGGCTCTACTGGTTATTCCTGGTGGTATTTTCTGGAGCACCCTGGTGTGGGCTACTGAGACTGAGTCTAAATGCTTCCTGGTATGGAGAGGGCAAGGCAGAGAAGACCAAGGTCTACCCTCCTCAGCTTTGAATAATGGTAGAAAAGAACAGTATCTACTCCTTAACTCCAGGAGTTGGCTATGGTGGTCTCAGGCAGGGCAGATGGTGGCCCTTTGCTAAGAGAAAACCTGAGTGGGGAAGAGTACTGTCGTGGTTAGGAAGGGGCTGTGGAGTGGCACTGGACAGATCCCAGTCTCAAAACTGCCACCTGTGTCTATAGGTGGCAAGTCATGTAAACTCTTGGTGCCTCAGTTTTCACATCTGTAAAATGGAGATAATTTACACCTTCATAGGGTTAATGTGAGGGATGAAATGAAAATGCAACTTAAGTACCTAGTGCAGTCCCTGTACATGGTAGGTGGTCGGTACAGAGCAGTGATGGCGAAGGGAGCTTTTGGTAACAGTATCTGGTAGCCCTAGTGTGGAAGAGTTCCCCTGCCCTAGAAGAGCTTCTTATGCGATGGGGGAGAGAGTCCAGAACTTAGAGCCTAGGAAAGCTTCAGGATGGATTACACATAAGAGTACAAGAGTTCCCAACAAAATGAGCTGACCCTTTGCAGCTCTCTGCGTTCTATTTGCTGCTAGAGGGTCAAGAACTAGGGCTGGGCTTGAGAGGCCTCTGCAGTCCTGAAGCCAGGCTCAGATAAGCCTGCAGCTCTATAGCTCTCCTCCCTGGCAGCCCTGCCTGGAGTTGACCCTGCACTGTTGGGAAGGAAGGGACGGCCCAGGGCTTAAAAACCTGGAGGCTGGGGTTTCACTCCCAGTTCTGTGACTTACCAGCAGGCAGGTTACTTCCTCACTTCTAAAGAGATTATGCTAATAATCACAGAGCTGTACAGATTAAATAAGACATCATCTGTAAAAGCCTTAATATAGTTCTGGATACAGAGAAGCTCTCAAAACACTGAGAGTGTGGTGGTGACTCTGGGGCCCTGCTTTGTGTGATGATGGTTGCTGGGGTTGTAGGTGCCTCAGCAGCCTCCAAAGGTCTTGTGTCAGTGGGGCAGTCTTTGAGATGAGGAATTTCATCGGAGGCTTCCAAATAATCGAAGAGGAGATTCTCAAAACAAAATGTAATGGTAGTACACAAGGAAACTAATGATCTCCACCTCCCTCAGTAGAACTGTCCAGGGATGGCCATGGTTCCCGAGGGTCTGAAAATCCTGAGATGCTTCTCAGCAATTTATTTTCTGGTTTTTACCTTCAACATCTTTATTTTTTTTCTTTTTTCTTTCTTTTTTTTTGAGACAGCATCTCACTCTGTTGTCCAGGTTGGAGTATAGTGGCGGGATCTTGGCTCACTGCAATCTCTGCCTCCCAGGTTCAAGCTATTCTCGCCTCAGCCTCCCGAGTACCTGGGATTAGAGACACACACCACCACACCCTGCTAATTTTTGTATTGTTAGTAGAGACAGGGTTCGCCATGTTGGCCAGACTGGTCTCGAACTGCTGACCTCAGGTAATCCACCCACCTTGGCTTCCCAAAGTGTTGGGATTATAGGCATGAGCCACCAGGCCTGGCCCAACATTCTTCTTATCACTCCTCAGTGGGTGCCCTGTGTTTGCCTCCCTGCCTCCCAAGACAGGGACGGGATGGTGGTGGTTAGTTAGTGCTCTTGTTCCCTGTGGGGTCAAGATATGGGTCATTTGGACCTTTCTGGCCTGTATGCTGTTGGTGTGGATCACACCCCCAAGGGAGTGGACCTGGATATATCAGGAGAGGGAGGGAAGGGAGCAGCAGCAAAGGTTTTGGAGAAGACAGGGCATCTCCCATAAGGCCATTTTGCTTGGGGAGACCTGGTCTTTGCCCTCTGGAATGCTGGTCTTTGTGTGTTTTATGGGAGAAGGAGGAGAGAGCACAACTCTGTTATGTGGAGCCCCCGTCCACCTTCTCCCTTATCCTGATAGGGGTGAAATGAATGGTCCCTGTGGTAAGGCCTGGAGTATGGAGGCCAGGATCATCATCCTGGGCCTGCTGGATCAATGGTTAGAGGCTGGACCCTTGGGACAGCAAAGGCTATGGGTTCAGCTTGAGTTGGGATCAGTTTGTCTTTTTTCATCACAAAGACTAAAACTGTTGTGACCATGAATGGCCCCCCAAGAGGCTCTATCAGCCCCTGCTTAGACTGTGGCACTGGGCAAGGGAGCTTGGGGACCCATGGCTGTGGAGGATGTAGGTTGGAGACAAGAGCCTTCTGCCTGGCTGGTTATGGTGTTCTGAGACCTCCTTAGGAGGGTGGGTTTGGGGGCACTGGGTGGTGCCGGAGGAGACATGCATCCTGTTGGCCTAAGGTTGGGATGGTCTTTGAGGGCTTCCATCTATGCCCTAGCCCACAGACAGCCTGCATGAAATTGTTGTGGGTAGATGGTGTGTGACCCCACAGCCTTCTCTCTGCCGGCTTCTGGGTGTGACTGCTCCTTGGGAAACTGCCGTGGTTACTTGAGTCCCTGGCCTTGGCTTCTGCTCCAGCCCCAGAGCTAGCATGGGAGGCCGGTGGGGCTGCTGGGGAGGTCTGCTCTGGCTGCAGAGGAAGGGTGTGGCTGCACTGAGAAGCCAGTCATTGGTATGCAGACGCTTCACTGCCCTTAGTTATGGGGTAGTTTTTATTTGGGGTTGTGTGAGCAGCAGCGTCTGGGGGTGTGGGGTGGGGTAGGAAGTGTGACTCCTCTGTCAGGCTGATCAGCTTCTCCTCTCTAGCCCAGCAGCTTCCCCTGCCCTCCCCAACTGCCCCTGGCCCTGAGCCCTGGCTGGGACCAGGGAGTTTCAAGGGACCTGTGGTCAGCCCCATCTCTGCCCTGCCTGCCCCTCCTTTTAGGCAGCTGGCTGCAAGGCATAGCTCAGCAGAGCTACATCCTGGCGACCTTGAGGGCTGACCTTCTCCTGTGCTGGGAGCTGCCTGTCCCACTTGTTACTGCTACCACCTCAGTGCTGTGACGTTCTTGTTTAAACCACTGGTCTGGCCTTATCCAGATGTTTTCCTGCCCTTCCCACCCTGTGCAGGGACAGATGATTAACACAAGAACGGGAGCTGTCGTTGCTCTGCTCTAGGGGAAGCAGTCCTCTTTTTCTTTCCTCTGCAAAATGGTGTTGCCATGAAGCAGTTTTGTTCTTCCCCATGGCCAAGTAATAAAAATGAGTCCTCTGTACACCTGGCAGTCCCGTCTGAGGAGTCTGATCACTGTGTCCCTACTGAGGTGGCCTGGGGTTCTTTCTACCTTGGGAACAGTGGTGACCAGAAAGGAGAAGGGCTTGGGCAGTCACATGAGGCCTCTGTGTAGAGCTGGGGCCTCGCCACTCAGGAGTATTAAGTGTGGCCTCCCAAAGCAGGGCTCCTGGGAGCAGCCAGCACCTCCCAGAAGCTGCTGGGTGTGGGGTGTCACAGGCCACCTTGACCTGTTCACCTGGTAGTGGGGAAGGGAGCACACCCTTACTCATGGGACTGCAGCATGGGAGCTGGAAGAGGGCTCAGACGAGGAAACTGAGGCTTGCAGAAGAAGAGCAGTACACTCTTACCACCCAGCACTTAGTGGAGGCTGTGCTCTGTGTGGTTTCCATTAGACCCTGGTAGCCCACAGAGCTGTAGGATTTGGGGTGAAGGAGAGATGGCATTCGGAGTCCTGCATGCATCCCATGGTTTCTGTGGAAGTGCCTGTGGGTTTTAGAGAGATGGGGACATCGGGCTTCTCTGCTGACCTGGAAGAGCAGTGCAGTCCAAAGGCAGTTCTGGAGGTCTGAAAGGCCAAGTGTAGACTATTGGTGGGGGAGACCTGGATATCCCCCTATACTTGGAGGAAGTTCTGCGGCCAAGTACTGTGTTTTGGGGCCTAGACAGGGAGCCCTGGAGATGTTCAGAGCAGACAGAGCCACTGTGACCAGCTGTGGTCAAGACAGACCCCTGTAAGGAGGGCATACACTAGAGATCTGTTGGCCATCATGGAACCCATCTGCCTCCCCAGCCTGGAGCACATGGCACTCTGTTTTGGTGCATGATTTTCATTGCCTGGTTGGTCTAGTTCATTGCTGATGAAGGCCTTTCTAGGTGCTGGCACTGTTCTAAAGACTGGACTTCTGTTTGCCCCCAGCAAGTCCTTGAGGTGTAGGTGCTGTTTAACAGCTGAGGAAACCTTGGCACAGAGAGGTAAAGTGACTTTTCTTTTTCTTCCTTTTTTGGGGGTGGGGTCAGGGTCTGGCTCCCTCACTCAGGCTGGAGTGCAGTGGTGCCATCATAGCTTACTGCAGCCATGAACTCCTGGGCTCAAGTGATCCTCTTGCCTGGGCTTCCCAAAGTGCTGAGATTATAGGAATGAGTCATTGGACTTGAACAAAGTTGGCTTTTTTTTTTTCCTAAAGGCACACAGTACATGGCAAAGTTAGGATGTGAACCCACGTAGTCTGGCTTCAGAGTCTATGCTCTTGGCCACCACAGCACACTGCCCACCTCAGTCTTCCCCATGACTCTGCTCTGCACAGGGTCAGGTGCTCAGCTGCTGCCTGCCGAGGATTCCTCTCTCCTTGACATGGATCTTGGGTGTTAATTTGGTGCTCTGTAAGCATGATCTGCTCCTCCTGGGTGAGCCCTTGGTTTATAGGGATAAGCACATTTGGTCTGCAACTCTAGCCTTGTGTCTGTCCCAGAGGCTGGGGGTGTTGTCTGGTACTTTGGGAGGGAATCACTGCAACCAGGTACCTCTCAGGAGTGGAGTGAGGGCTGGGTGTGGTGGTTTACACCTGTAATCTCAGCACTTTGGGAGGCCAAGTCAAGAGGATCACTGGAGGCCAAGAGTTCAAGAGCAACCTAGGCAACATAGCAAGACTCCATTTCTACAAAAATACAAAGAATAGCTGGGTGTGGTGGTACGTGCCAGTAGTCCCAGCTGCTCAGGAGGCTGAGGTGGGAGGATCACTTGAGGCCTGTAATGAACAATGATTGCCCCACTGTATTCCACCCTGGGTAACAGAGCGGAAAAAAAAAAAAAAAAAAAGAGTGGAATGAGGTCTGAGACGATTGGCCAGGGCACTTTCCACCCCGGGGAGATTTGCTTCCTTCAAGCAGGGCTTGTGGGTATCAGCACATACCAGACTCCGTGATTCTTCCTTAGACGTCACATGCTGGTTTTACTGTGACAAAACACCAAGCCATCCCGTTCTTCCTCCTGCAGCAATATAGTCATTTGCTATTTTTTCCCTTCTGTTTAACAACATCCAGGAAGCAATTACTGGACAACCATTGTAACTACTGTGCCTAGGTCAGTGCTGTGGAGGAAACCAGGGAAATGAAGTGGGTAGCCCTCTCTCTAGAAGGGCTAAAATATGTTTGAGACAAGCCTAACGCAGCAAGGACAATTCCTCTGCAAAGCATCATATAAAAAGTGTGAGAGCCGGGTGGGGTGGCTCATGCCTGTAATCCCAGCACTTTGGAAGGCTGAGTCAGGCAGATCAGGAGGTCAGGAGTTCAAGACCAGCTTGGCCAATATGGTGAAACTCCATCTCTACTAAAAATACAAAAATTAGCCAGGTGTGGTAGCATGTGCCTATAGTCACAGCTACTCAGGAGGCTGAGGCAGAAGAATCGCTTGAACCCAGGAGACGAAGGTTGCAGTGAGCAGAGATTGTGCCATTGCACTCCAGCCTGGGTGACAGTGCGCGACTCTGTCTAAAAATAATAATAATAATAATAATAAATAAAGTGTGAGAGAATAAGGATGTCAGGAGAAGGGAGAACTCACCAGTTGGAGTCATCAGGGCAGGCTTCTCAGGAGAGGCGAGGCCTTGAATAACAGATGAGACCTGATTAGAGGCAGGGTGAGTTGGAGGCAGGGAAACTGTGAGTGTGATGGGACTGGGCCAGGAGAGTGAGTGAGGGGAGACAAGCTTAGTTTCCTGTGTTCCGCTCTCAGCAAAACAGCCTGACTTTCTTTACTTCCTATTTACTTTTTTTTTTTTTTAATGGAGATGGAATCTTGCACTGTCACCTGGGCTGGAGTGCAATGACTCCATCTCAGCTCACTGCAATCTCTGCCTCCCAGATTGACATGATTCTCCTGCCTCTTCTGAATAGCTGCAATTATAGGTGCATACCACCACGCCTGGCTAATTTTGTATTTTTAGTAGAGACGGGGGTTCACCAAGTTGGCCAGACTGGTCTTGAACTTCTTACCTTGTGATCTACCCTCCTCAGGCTTTCAAAGTGCTGGGATTACAGGCATGAGCCACTGCGCCCAGCAACTTTTTTTTTTTTTTTTTTTTTTTTTTGAGACAGAATCTTGCTCTGTTGCCCAGGCTGGAGTACAGTGGCATGATCTTGGCTTACTGCAATCTTTGCTTCATGGGTTCAAGCGATTCTCCTGCCTCAGCCTCCCAAGTAGCTTGGACTACAGGTGCATGCCACAACACCCAGCTAATTTTTGTATTTTTAGTAGAGATGAGGTTTTGCTGTGTTGGCCAAGCTGGTCTCCAGCTCCTAACCTCAAGTGATACCCCTGCCTTAGCCTCCCAAAGTGCTGGGATTACAGGAGTGAGCCATTGCACCCGGCCCCTATTTACTTTTGAGTAGTTTACCTGGTCCAAATTCTAAAGGTACTGAAGGGCGCATACTGAAAAAACTTTCCCTTGCCCCAACGTTGAGTCACCTAGCTCCTCTTCTCAGAGGCATCCAATATTATCAGTTCTTGTATAACCTTCCAAAGGTATTTTTTGCATTTTGAGGCAAATGCATTGTGTATTTCCTTCCCTCCCTTCTTTCTGTTTGCCCAGATGCAATATTCTCATCACACAGTTCTATACCTCCCATGAGCCTAGTGGGGGAGTTATTGTTTTTTTCCCCCTCTTGTGGGGTCTGAACTGAGACCTTGGCAGAGGGGACCATCACCACTTGGTTTTGTCCTCCTAGATCTGAGTCTCCTGCTCAGTGTGAATAGGGGTTAGGAGCACACTGGGGAGGGGGATGTGTTAAGTGGAATTTCTTCTTTGTTTTTCCACTTGCCAGAGATCCCCTGAGAGAGGTCATCCTGCTGGTTCTCCCCTTCCTCCTGGGCAGGGTCGTTGCTTTTTGGTCCTGGGCCATCTCACTTACATGGGGCTGATACTGGCCTGTAAAAGGCCGCTGATAGACAACCCACATCTTTCTGTGTGGTTTGACCTACTTTTAAGGATGGCTTCCCAGCATTATCTCATTTCATTCTTCCCTGAGGGCAGATGGGGGACTACCATCTTTGCAAATATGGAGACTGGGGTCTCAGGAGGTAGATTGACCTGTCTAAGGTCACACAACTCTTTAGTGGCAGCCAGATTTCTGATATCTAAGCCTGATGCTTTTCTCTGTACATTGTGCTATCACCCCTACATCTTTTTTCTGTTGCTTTCTGTGGTATGACTTGTCTCCAGGCATTTTTGCAGCTTTTCCTTGTGCTGGGTGAGCTGACTGTGGCAGACTGTTGGAGCTACAGCACCAGGATGAGGATTAGACAAAGCGCTTGTGCCTAGGAGGGAGGGAGGCTGGACCTGGCTGTAGTCTGAGGAGGGCTGAGTGAACTGTCCCCACAGAGGCAGGGGGAGCTAATGAGAACCTGGGCTCCCTCCAAGAGTTGCTGGTGCCAGGCATGGTGCCAGAGGAGGTGATAAGAATCATCTTCTGGCCTGATAAGAGGCCATATCCTGTCCTGCAATTATGTCTGGCTTGCAGTTTTACTATAGATACCAAATCAAAGGGTCGGGTAGGCAGTGGATGCCGGGAGACAGCAGGGGTTGGCTTGAGGCCCACACAGCTCCTGTGTGCCGGTGTGAGGCAGCCTGCTGGGAGAGGAGAGGAGGCATCAGGGTGGAGGAGGCTCTGAGGAAAAGGGTTTTCCAACTGTCTCACCAAACTCTGATTATAATAGTTCTAGTTTCACTTTACCTTGTCTTTAACTGCCTGATTTTATCACCCTCTTTTTATAGAGGTGAAATCGCTGCTTCAAGCCATATATAGTAAGGCAGAGCCAGGATTAGAACCCAGGTCTCCCATCTTCTAGTCCACCGTGGTTCTCACACAATGCCCTTAATATCATTGTTTTTCCAACTTATTTCTGAGACGAAAGCTGAGCCCTGCCAATTCCATCATTTACCCAGTACATGTTACAAGATGTTCTACATCTTGGGCCCCGTCTCAGGTGGTGAGAGATAAGTGGTAGATGACTGTCCCTGCTGCCAACAGTAGTGACCGTCCAGAATGGAGGGGCTCTGCCATAGTTATGTTACAAGAGGTGAAAAGGGGGTGCTTCCAGGGGATCCCCTGGCTCTCCTACCTTCTCCATTGTTCCTGTCCTAGTTCAGGCTTAAAAAAAATTTTTTTTAAAATCTCTGCTCTGGACTGTTACCTTAGCTCCTGCAGCCATTTTATAAACCAGAGTGCCAGTTTATTAATTAATGGTAAGAAATAACTGCTATGGCACTAAGAGTTGCTCAGGTCAGCCTGGCCATGGGACCTGCCCTGGGCTGTGACTGCCCCTTGCTGGTCCCCTGCCTCACCTCTCTGCTGTCCCTTTCCCTGCTGTCCCTCCCTCTTCCTGCAACATAGTGTCAGTCCTATCCTTGTGTTGTACCCTGCCATGCATTTCAGGGCCCAGAATACAACTATAGCTCCTTAGTGTGACATTAGAGGCAGTCTCCTCCTTCTGTCGCACATCTGTAGTCTGTTGTGTCCCTCACACCTGGAATGTCTCCCTAACCTGTCCTCATCTCTTTCCCACCCATTGTTCAGGGCCCAGTTTAAATGCCACATCCTGCACCCTCCTCCTGAAATCATCAAACCCCTCCCCTTGAGCCTTCCTGTGCTTCATTTGTGCATTTTTGTGGTGTCAATCACCACCTTCCGTCCGCTATGTGGCTGTCTTCTCCACCAAGGCATAAGCTCTTCAGAGACACCTTGGTTCTTGTTCCTGGCAAATACCTGGGGAACATTGGAGCAGAGACCTGGCTGAGGCCTCCTCTGGTTGGTGGTGGGTGTCAGACTGGCTGTCAGGATCCCATGTGGGGCTGTCAGCCCTGGTGCAGTGGGGAGCGGGCGGGCTGATGAGTTCACAGGTGTTCACAGGGGTGCTGATGAGTGCAGGGGCTGAGGGAGGAGAGCAGGGGGTGGGGTTCAGTCTTAAGGAGAGAAAGCCTGTGTCCTGGCCTGAGACCTGCCCCCCTTGACCTCTGTAGGAGTCAATGTCAATCCACCATCAGCCCCAGCTGGGAGCAGGAGAGTGTCAGTGCACCCTAAATGCTTCAGTATGCCTCTCCAGCCCACTCCAACAGATGTGGGTATCTTCAAAAAAACATCGCCTTAGTCCCATCCTCACACAAAATTAACAATTCTTTAATGATCTTCTAATACCCAGCCCACATGTAAGTTATCCTTATATCTAAAATGCCTTTTCAGGTTTGTTGAGTCAGGAGCCAAATGGGTACCCGGCTTTTATGTCTGCTCATGGCACATCTCCCCCTTTGGACAGTTCCTGCCCCTCCAGTTCATGCTGTCACCTGGTGAGGAACCAGGCCATCTGTCCTTGAGACTGTCAGACATTATGGCCCTGGCTACTTGGTTCCTTGTGATGGCCTGTACCCTGATTCACAACCCCTGGACACTAGGTCCCCTGGCAAGAGTCCTTCTGAGGGGCTGGCCAAGCCTTGCCTCACCTGGGGAGGCCCACCTGACTGCAGCCCACCCTCAGCAAAGCCCTGATGAAACAGTGGGTTCTGAATGGTTAGCCCCCCAGCTATTCTGAGTCCTCCCCCGAAACCAGCCTTTCTCTCAGAGCTTTCGGTGTCCATTGATGATTGTCTGTATAGGGCTGAATTTCTTCTATACCAGCAGGAAGCCTAGCATAAGGATAAGCTTTCTCTCTCACTGTTTTGTCACTGCAGCAGGAATGGCAGGCCAGTGTAGGTTGCAGTGAGCTGAGATTGTACCACTGTACTCCAGGCTGGATGATAGAGCGAGACTCCATCTCAAACACACACACACACACACAAACCTGTTGGGAATGGCAGGAGTGACGATTCTTGGCCATTATTTTTCAGTTTGGGGCCAGGCACGGCGGCTCATAAACCTGTTGGGAATGGCAGGAGTGACGATTCTTGGCCATTATTTTTCAGTTTGGGGCCAGGCACGGTGGCTCATGCCTGTAATCCCAACACTTTCAGAGGCCGAGGTGGGCAGATCACTTGAGGTCAGGAGTTCAAGACTAGCCTGGCCAACATGGTGAAACCCCATCTCTACTGCAAACACAAAAATTGGCTGGGTGTGGCAGCACATGCCTTTAAATCCCAGCTACTCAGGAGGCTGAGGCAGGAGAATCACTTGAACCAGGAAGGCGGAGGTTGCAGTGAGCCAAGATTGCACCATTGCACTCCAGCCTGGGCGACAGAGCGAGACTCCATCTAAAAAAAAAAAAAAAACCAAACACACACACACACACACACACACACACAACCAAAAAACCCCATTATTTTTTACTTTGGTGATGACTTTCACACTAAATATTTGCCCTGCCCATGGTACTGTCCATGATACCAATCATGGAAGGCTGCAGGCCTTTTGTGGGCACATGATTTCATCTATACAGTGTCACTTGAAATGGCGTATCACTGGCCTGCAGTGGAAATCTAGGGCCAGCAGTATTATGGGCAGATGTTATGGTGTTTTCCCCAGCACATGCTTTTTGAGTCATATGCCTGTCCAGAGGGTTCCTCTGGAGCCCTGGAATCTCCCATTTGTACCAGCTCTAAGGGAAGCTAGGTAGGGGGAGTGAGGCTGGGAAAGGAGGACTGGATCAGTATTTCTTCCTCTCCTTCACATTGGTACCCTACTTTCCCTCTTAGAGGACTCTCCCACCCAGTATTTTGGGGCAGCTCCGTTGTCATGACTAAGTTCATTTGCCTTGGGGTTGGGGTTTGATTCCTACAACAGTCAGCTCTCCAGGCCCCTTGTCCCCAGGGTGGTGGTAGCTGTTTGCCAGCTGAGGTAAGCCCTGTCTTTGGAAGAGGCTGGGGCAGTGGGTTGCAGCCATAGCAGGTGAGGCTCAGGTGGGGACCCCAGGGAAATTGGGAACTGCGATGTTGGGGGCACGATCAAAACAAGCTCTGGAGTAGCCTGCTCCCAGCTAGCAGGTGCACGTGGCTGTTGTTGTTTCTCTGGAGTCACCTTCATTGGCATGCAAGGGTTTGAGGGTCAGCCTGAGCACTGTGGCGTGACGCTGGGGAACCTGAGGGCCTTTGGCCAGCTTCTTGCCCTTCACCAGGCTCCCTATTCTCCTAGCAGTGTGAGGAATGTGAGCAACACCCATCTTCTGCTTGGAGCTCTCAGCCTGGGTACCATGCAGTGGGCAGGGAGGGGAGGACCTGGCCTTCTGCTAAGTTTGCTCCCTCCCCACTCTAAAGCAGGTATTCTCAGCCCTTTTGGTGCCATGGACTCCTTCTCCAAATAAGGTCTTTAAATATACAGCATTGCGAAGTACACCAATGATGTTGAAATATAGTTCTCAATATAAAAGCCAGCACTTTGGGTGGCTGAGGTGGGCAGATCACCTGAGGTCAGGAGTTTGAGACCAGCCTGGCCAACATGGTGAAACCACATCTCTACTAAAAACACAAAAACTAGCTGGGCATGGTGGCAGACACCTGTAAGCACAGCTACTTGGGAGGCTGAGGCAGGAGAACTGCTTGAACCCAGGAGGTGGAGGTTGCAGTGAGCCAAGACTGTGCCATTGCACTCTAGCCTGGACAACAAGAGTGAAACTCTGACTCAAAAAACAAAAACAAAAACAAACAATTTACTAAAGAAACATACATGCTTTATTACTGTATTAAATAATGAGGTCTACTGGAGATCTAATGACTTTACAATTCAAAGTAGTGATGAGTGTAAATATTTGTGACATCTGTAACAGCTAAAATGTGATAGGAAAGTAATCCAGTTTCTCTTAGTGACGACTGTATAGGTGCTGCTTCTATACTACTACTGTTGCAAAAATTCATAGTTGGAAGACATGCTAAATTTCGTTAGAGATTAGGGGAAATAAGGATGTGATTTTTCTTCCCATCTAACACATACCCCGTGCTCTACAGAAATAGAGGGGTAACTTTACATTAGATTCCTTGGTTGGACAGAGACATGGGAGCTCCTGGGCGTGAGGGTGAGTGTGTGTTGTACTTGCAGAGGGAGGCAGCATAATACAGTGGTCAGGGTCGTGGGCTCTGGAGGCAGAGAGCCTGAGTTCCAGTTCTGGCTCTCCTGCTTACTGTGTGACTGGACCCAGGGCATGTCTCCTTACCTCAGTACTCACACCTGCTGAATGTGAGAGCTGATGCTCCTGTGCGTTTCCCATGTAGCCAGGCCCTGTTCTGAGCGTTCCACGCATAGAACATGGAATCCTCATGCAAGTTGAAGATCCCTTATTCCAAATGCTTGGGACAGAAGTGTTTTGGAGTTTGGATTTTGGAATAGTTGTATTATCTGGCCAGTTGAGCATCCCTAATATAAAAATCGAAAATGCTTCAGTGAACATTTCCTTTGAGCACCATCAACAGTGGTGCTCAAAAAGTTTTGGAGCATTTCAGATTTCAGATTTTTGGATTGGGGATACTCAGACTGTTGTCTTGTGAGGGGAGGGTAGGCTGCTACCACCATTTTATAGATAGGTGAGGAAACGGAGGCATAGAGATGAGGTCACACTGCCAGCACATGGTGGGGCTGGGGTTTAACCCAGTCTGCCTGGTGCCAAAGTCCATGCTCTTAGCCACTCCCAGGGTCTGCCTCCCATATCAGCCTCATGGTGTTGTTAAAGAGGATTGAATGAGATGTAATTGCATGTATTCAGTGCTTAGTATCTTGCCAGCACACAGTAAGTGCTAACAGTGGTTGTAGTTGGTAATGGGGATAAGATTAGTGGCCTTTGAGGGCCAAGAGATGGGATAGAGTTGGGTCAACTCCTCTGTTCACAAAGCTGGACGTTTCCCACAGCTGGGTGGGCATCTTCTCTCCCAGGGAAGTTAGTGAGATTCTTAGCTTAGTTGGGGGGCCGAGGAAGTGCCTCACAGTAAAAGGTCTCATTTTGGAAACCTCCCTTTAAGCCTGGCATCTCTCGCTCCTGCCCTCTGGAGGCTCCTGTTTGTAGGGCAGGGTGGGGATCCTCATTACTCTTTGGGAGCTCCAGCTCTCCTGACTAAGACTCATGGGTTAGTAGCAATAGAAAACCGTGGAGCAGTTGTGAAGGGGTCCCAAAGTTAGTCACAGAATAAGTTGTTGGCTCATTGAGCAAATATTTGAGTGTCCGCTGTTAAGTGCTGGGGGTACAGAGATGAACAGAATAATGCTGTTGGCTGTAGAGCGAGGGAAGACAGATGCTAACAAGCCCTGTACGTGTGCAGCATTTTGCCACGTGGATGTGGGCATGGGGACGTGTGCACACACACACAGTGCCAGCTTGTGGTCAGTATGATGATGAAAGAGGGTGAGGGGGGCAGAGTGCAGTGGCTCATGCCTGTAATCCAGCACTTTGGGAGGCCAAGGCAGGTGGATCACCTGAGGTTGGGAGTTCAAGAACAGCCTGACCAACCTGGAGAAATATCATCTCCACTAAAAATGTAAAATTAGCCAGGTATGGTGGCACATGCCTGTAATCCCAGCTATGTGGGAGGCTGAGGCAGGAGAATTGCTTGAACCTAGGAGGCGGAGGTTGCAGTGAGCCGAGATTGCATCATTGCACTCCAGCCTGGGCAACAAGAACGAAATACCATATAAAAACAACAACAACAACAGGGTGAGGGGTAGTTGCAGTTGAGGTACTTGGGGAAGACTGAGGAGGCTCAAATGAAGAGAGCCCTGACTCAAGTGAGTAAGTGAACCGTGGCCAGAAGGTCTGGCCTGCATTCCAGGCAGAGGGAGCAGCAGGTGCAGTGGCCTTGAGGTGGGAACACACCTGACAGGTTCAGGGACATCAGGAGGACCAGTGTGTCCCAAGTGGAATGAGAGATGCAGACAGTCATAGGAGCCGAGCCCCAAAAGAACCTGAGCGAGGGAGGGAGGGTGGGGCATGATGAGCTTCAGACTTCACGTCTTTGCTGGATGGAACGTGGATGTCAGATAAGCAGGGAGTTCTAATATCCGTCATGGGATATGGGAGGTGGTGGTGGATGGAACAATGGGGTGACAGCGGTGAGGGGATGAGTTCTGGAGATAATTGCTGGTAGAGTTGACAGAGTTCCAAGTTTAGATGTAGGGTGTGAGGAGGAAAAAGAGACAAATCTGGTTTCTAGGTTTGGAGTCTGGAATAAATGATGGGTGGGGGCTTAGAAAGGGGCATTGTTATTTGGGTCTGAATTTTGGACTGATAAGAATTGGGGGTTATAGCTACCCCCAGCCCCCACTCCCCTGCCTGTCTCTGACTGGAGTTCCCTGGCACTTGCATGGGTATGTGTGACAGCCGGCCCAGGTCGGCTCTCCCCTGAGTGCAGGCCCTCCCTAGTTATGCTGCATAGCATCGGTTAGCCCAGCTGCATTTCCTGAGAACTGGGTGGAGAGCTGGTTATGAGGGCCTGGGGACCCCACCAGCAGGAATAACTAGGGCTGTAATCTTGGGGAAGGTGACAGACTTGCTCCTCTTTCCAACCCTTCCATCCGCTTTGTCCTCTGCTTAGGGGGTGGATACGAGGAGGCTGAGGGCCAAGTGCCAAGTCCACATGGGGCCTGCGAACTTTGTCCGGCAGAGAGAGCCTGGGGGAGGTGTTCTAGCTGAGCTGGAGGCCCCCTGTAAGAGCTTCCCTGTGGTCCCTGCCTCTCAGGAATTCTGGACCCTGATGGCTACTGGAGGAGGCTGGGCTGCTCTCTGACAAGGTTTTGAGGGGCTGAGGACTGGACAGAACCCTGAGGCCCCCTCAGGGCATTTCAGGGCTCTGTGTTCTGGGATTGTGCCAACCCTTTGAAAGGCGGTTTAGTTTTCAGGGTCTGTGACATGTATCCAGGCCTTTTCCAGCCTCTGTCCTCTCAGGGTACCCAGGGCAGGAGTATGTGCATTCAGCTTTTCTGAAAGATGCTAAACCTTAAAGGTTAAGGGCATTGCTTGGAGTCGGGCACCTTCATGTTCAAGTTCCAGCTTCATTACTTACTAGTTGTGTGGCCCTGGCCAAGTTACAAACCGTCTCCACAACTTAGTTTCTTCATCTATAAAATGGTCCTCCCATCTCCTGGGCTGGCTGTGTGGATAGTGAAAGAGCTGCAGAGCCAGGCACACAGTGAGCCCTCAGCAGGGTCAGCTCTGGCCATTCTCTAGCCCCCTTGTGTGCAGCCCTCTGCAGAGGTGTGTCCCCTGAGCCAGCAGCAGCATGGGCAGCTGGGAGCTCTCTCAGGCCCACCTACACTTTGGATATCAGAATACACATTTTAACAAGATCCAGTGATTTTTTTGCACTTTGCAGTTTGAGAAGCACTGATGTGTGTCTTCTGAAGAGCAGCATCGGTAGCTGCGTGTGCCTCTTCAGTTGCAAAGAATTTTCACTTACTGTGCCTTTCCATACTGTGCCCATCATGTTCTGGCTGCAGAGGCACCTGGGACAAGTCCCAGATAATCATCAACTCCATCAAAACCCTTGTGTCCTGAGCACGTGCTGCCTGGGCCTTGGAGAGTTCAAGTGCCCCAGACGGTGCTCCTAACAGAGAGGTGGAGTCAAGGTGGGTGCTTTGCAGGTGGAGCAGCTTAGTCCCTGCAGTGAAGGATGTGCTGGTTGGTGATATATGTGCTATAGGCAGCCCAGAGTTTGATCACTAGGTGGGTGTCAGGGGAATTGTACAGGGGCAGAATCACTGTCCTTCCTGTTGTTTTGGTGAGAGTGTTGTTTCTAAAGTGGTTTCTGAACTAGGAGACCTAATTTGTCTTAACATTCTTTTTTTTTTAAGACAGTCTTGCTCTGTCACCCAGGCTGGAGTGCAGTGGCACAATCTTAGCTCACTGCAAACTCCGCTCCCTGGGTTCAAGCGATTCTCCTGCCTCAGCCTCCTGAGTAGCTGGATTACAGTCACGTGTCACCATGCTAGGCTAATTTTGTATCTTTAGCAGAGACAGGGTTTCACCGTAATGGCCAGGCTGATCTCAAACTCCTGACTCTGTGATCTGCCCACCTCCCAAAGTGCTGGGATTATAGGCGTGAGCCACCACTTATGGCCAACATGCTTAATTTCTAGAAAGTGCTTAATGCTGCCTGCTCCTCCACATGTGTTCCTTTGGTAACTTACCCACTCCTGGAGGAGGGATGAGTATTTCTAGGGTCAGTCCTCTCAGAAGCAGTGCGTCCTCGGGATTTGGGAAGGCAAGCCTTACTGGGCAGGAAAAAGACACAGGCTTCTCCCGGGTACCAACTGCGTGTCCTTGAGGACAAGCCCAGGTGGAGAGAACATTGGCCGCTGACCTTGGAGTGATGTAAAGCGGCAGGGACCATCCTTGTTGTTCTTACATGGGGTCTAGATGAATTTGCTCACCTGTGAAGCCTCGCCCCCAACCCCACTGAGAAATATAGCTAACCAGGCTGGGACCTTCTAGTTCAGTAAGTCAGGGTGGCATCTTGGGTGTATTTATATCTATATATAAATTATTCACTGATCCATAGCAGGCTTGGGTGCCACAGCTATGAAGCTCTGAAAATGAGAGCTGTCTTGTGAGCTACTGTTTAGATGAATGTTGGGACCTTGGTGACATCCTGATTGATTTTAGCCATGTCTCTGTCCTGGATGAGAGTAACAGGTCAGGCCTCAGCTTGGGCTTTGGAATTCCTAGGGCTGAAGGGCCTGGTGAAAGGCACTGAGAGGGAGAAAAAGCCTTGGTCAGGTAGGGAGGAAGAAGCAGGAGCAGAAGCTCCAAAACGAAACCAGGGCCTGTCTCTCCCACGGTCAGATTTTGGAGAGTTGAGGTTGGATTTTTTTTTTTTTTTTGAGACAGAGTTTCACTCTGTTACCCAGGCTGGAGTGCAGTGGTGTGATCTTGGCTCACTGCAACCTCCACCTCCTGGGTTCGTTATTCTCATGCCTTCAGCCTCTGGAGCAGCTGGGATTGCAGACATGAACCACCACACCCAGCTAATTATTGTATTTTTAGTAGAGACAGGGTTTCACCATGCTGGCCAGGCTGGTCTTGAACTCCTGACCTCAAGTGATCTGCCTGCTTTCACCTCCCAAAGTGCTGAGATTATAGGCGTGAGCCACCACGCCCAGCTGAAGTTGAGTATTAAAGGATCTGGCACCTTCACTTGAAGGCCAGGCACAGTGATTGGCTTCAGGGATTCAAGAGCAAGAGTCCTAGTTGCTCACAGCTGTGGGAGAGAATGAGGCTAAGTGGGAAGCACTGGCTGCTTGCTGACCAGGCTTGGCGTGCCTTAGCCTCTGAGAGGATGGTTGTTCCCATTTGAGGGCCAAGGAAATGGAGGCTGAGGGAGGTGACCTGGTTAGTGGGTCAGCACTCACCACCATGCCCTGCTATCAGGCTCATCCAGATGAAAGCTACAGCTCCAAACTGTGCATGCGTGATTTCTTCACTTTGGAGCTGTGTGTCCCAGGGGATAGTCAATATTCACAGGAAACACAGTCTAGGTGAGGAAACCTTGGGTGCCCAGGGCATGACAACACCAGGCAGTCCTGGAGCACAGTGCTGCCAGATCTGGCTGTAGGGTGAGTTTGATTCAGAGTGTGTATGCCTGGCCAGAGAGAGGAGGGACTGGGCCAGGCCAGCGGGATGATGGCAGCTGAGGGAGCTTCCCAGAGGAGGTGGGATTTGAACTGGGTCACAGGACCCTGCTGTCACATTCCCTGTGGGAGCTTCAGTCTCTAGGGATGAGGTGCTCAGAGCCTGTTTGCTCTGCTGTGTGTGGGACTCTGAGAAGAGAAAGTCTCCATTTGTTTTCATCGCAGGCTCCTCAGCCCCCCTCGATAGCGTTCATAGTTTCCCATCCTCTGGTGGACCATGTCACGGTGCCCGTCAGGTCTGTAGGGCTGTCTGGTCCAGGCACCGGGAAGCAGGAGCTCTGGGGAGGGGGAAGATGTGGTCATCTGCTCGTGTAGGCCACACTTCTGGGAGAAGGCCTGCTCTGGTTGAGTCCCTGGGGTGCCCAAGGTGTGCCGGGCAGAGTCCCAATCAGTCCTGCTCTTGACTGGGCTGCAGAGGGAGGTGGGGCTGGAAGGGAGGTAGAGGGGTGACGGTGACTGGGGTCCAGAGGTCGGTCCTGGCCATTCTCCACTTCACTGTGCTCTTGATGGTGGGAGAGCCTGAAACATATTCAGGGAAGCCTTTTCTTTTTCCTTCCTTGTTTCCTGGAAAAATAGGTACAAAGAGAAACCCAAATTCCCTGTGGTGGAGGGGTGGGCAGAACAGGAGAAGGGGAAGTGACCTTATAGGTTAGGGAGTTCCGAAAGGTCCTAGTGGCAGAGGACCTGAGCCTCAGCCTCCCACCTTCCTCTGAGGGCTGAGAGGCAGAGGACAGCGGCCCGTTCTGTGGCTCAGGAAGCTGAGATGAGATAGGAGTGGGAGCTTTCCCTTGTTTCTTTTTCCTATTCACACAGTAATATATGCTCCTTATAAAACATTCAAATAGGACAAAAATAGGCAGTGTAGGAAGTGCTAGTTCCCTGCAGCCTCACCTCCCCGCCCGGCCCCTAGGTAGTTGCATTGCCGCTGTGGTGTGTGCAGTGTGACTGTCTGGAGCCGAGGGCCCCAACCTGTCTGTCCCAGCAAAGACTGGCTCTGCTTGCTGATCTAGTTACTCAGGACTTGGGTGATTTGGGGCTAGAGTCCATACCCTTCTCTTTTGCCCCACCTCCCAGGACCTTCCTATGCCAGATAGGGCCGAGTCCACTAGGGCTTGGTCTCTAAATAGGTAAAGGGTCAGGCCCAGGATGGCCATTGGGCTGAGAATGTCAAGGTGTAAGGCTATTGATGCTGCGGCTGGTCTTTCTGTCAAACTTCCTCTCCTACCCCACAGACACCCTTACACATCTTTCAGTCTGTCTCTCTTGCTTGGCCTCTCCTCCCCTCACTCCCTACCTGTGCCTCAAGAGAGAGGCACACACACACCCTAGGATATGGCCCTCTGCCTGCCCTGCCCGTGGCACCATCTGTCCCTACCTCCCTACCTGGCCTTCTTGGGATCGTCTGTCAGGTTTGAGAAGGAAAACCAATAGCCTTGGCTTAGCCTGCTCAGGCCTTGGAATGGGTCTCCAAGAAGGTGGGACGGGCTGGCCTTGCCCACCAGGGTTTCATTATGATGGGCTCTTCTACAGGGATGGTAGTTGGAGGTGCCCCAGGAAGCCTTTTTTTTTTTTTTTAAACTTCAACATTAAATAAAAAATAATCAAAATACTACCACCAGTACCACCAAGCTATTGCAGTGACTTAATTCTGGATCTTTGGATGTTTAGGGACTTTTCACACAAAGGCTTCCCGTGCCCCACCCTGTGTCCACCAGAAGCTCAGGGAGCTGGCACTTTGTGGTGGGCAGAGGTGTCCCCTGCACCACTGACTGCAGCTTGGTTGGCTGTCTGTGTGTGTGTGTGTGTGTGTGTGCGCGTGCGCATGCTATGCAGCGTCTTATTAATATCTTGCATTAGTGTGGCATGTTTGTTGTATTTGAAAGCCAACATCAATACATCATTGTTAACTACGGTCTATATATTACATTAGGTTCACTCGTTGTATTGTGCATTCTGTGGGTGTATAACAATGTGTGCCCATCGGTATGGTAGCATGCAGGATAGTTTTTCTTTCCTGAAAAGTCCCTGTGCTCTGCCTATTCATCCCTCTGTTCTCCCTTCAATCCCCCAGCAACCACTGACCTTTTCACCGTTTCCATAGTTTTGCCTTTTGCAGAATGTCAAATAGTTATGCCATGCAAGCATGAATACTTTTCGGATTGTCTTCTTTCGCTTATGTATGTAAGACCCATCCCTGTCTTTTCATGGCTTGATGGCCTATTTCTTATCATTAAGTAGTATTCTGTTGTCTGGATGTACCACAGTTTGCTTATCTCTTCATCTACTGGAGGACACTTTGGCAGCTTCCAAGTTTTGGCAGTCATGAACAGAGTTGCTATAAACATCTGTGTGCAGGTTTTTCTGTGGACCTAAGTTTTCACCTCAGTAGTCTAAGTACCAAGAAGCGTGATTGCTCCTTGTATGGAAAGTTTGCTTAGTTCTCTAAGAAACTGCCAACTCCTGCACAAGAACATCCCTCCCCAGTAAGGCAGGCCCCAGCCACCCTGTGCGGTGGCCATGTATATTGGGGGCTGTCTCTGTGTGTCTCTCTGGGCACAGTGGGTGTGCACTGGGAAGAACTTAGGCTTTAGGGAGCTGGGCGCCTGACTCTTGAGTCTCCACTGTCCTTTACCAACCACCTGTTTTTGGATGGGTTCCTTTACCTCTGAGCCTCACCCTCCTGATGTGTACAGTGGGGTAGTGCCTCTTACCTCACACACTTCTTGGGAAGTGTATGTGGGAGTAAAAACCCTCACGCTGGTTGTAACTCACTGTAGATGCTCAGCAGGTGCTAGTGCTCTTTGCCTTTCCTGGGTCTCTTTCTGCCATTCTTGTCTGCTCTTCCATCTTGTAGAGGTATTCCTGACAGGGCTTGGGGTGAGTCAGTGTGTGAGGTGTGTGTGTGCGTGCACGTGTATGTACGTGAGTATGTGCACTAGCATTCCTGTGTTCCTGGCCTTGGGCCTCTGGGTGAGCTGTTCTTTCCTGGGCTCACTGGTGCCTGGGAGTAGAGCTTTGGCTGGGACTAGCCAGAGGAGATGATGTCAACAGGGAGAAATGTGGGTAGGTCTGTCTGTGCTGGGGCATGGAGATGGGAGGGGAGGGCCCTCCCAAGCCCAGCCTTGCCCCTCTGGGCCTCAGAGTTTCACATATAGGGGATATGGGGGATAGGAGGGGTCTCTGAGCTCCAGGAGAAGGTCCTGGGGTGGGAGGGGGCATGGCGTAGTAACTGCTGCCCTACCTGGTGGCATCTGAGGAGCTTCCCCATTCAGGATATGGTTTTCTCCATCATGGAGACATTTTGGATAGTTTCTCAGCTGCATCTGAGGCCTGGAAGCCCAGGCCTATGGGTCAGAGCAGGAGCCTTTGGGGAGAGGCTGTCAGTGACCCTCAGAGCAACAGTGGGTCTGGGTGGTGTCTGGTACTGGGTGGGAGTGAGGCTCCCTGGGCCCATGACTGAGCTCTGCCTGCTCCCCTCCTCTCACAGGTGGTACAAGCTGCACTCCAAGGCAGGCAAGAAGGAGAAGGAACGTGGCGAGATCGAAGTCACCATCCAGTTCACACGCAACAACCTGAGTGCCAGCATGTTTGACCTGTCCATGAAGGACAAGCCAAGGTCCCCCTTCAGCAAGATCAAGGACAAGATGAAGGGCAAGAAGAAGTATGATCTGGAATCTGCCTCTGCCATCCTCCCAAGCAGCGCCATAGAGGATCCTGACCTGGGCAGCCTGGGCAAGATGGGCAAAGCCAAAGGCTTCTTCCTCCGTAACAAGCTGCGCAAGTCATCCCTGACCCAGTCCAACACCTCTCTGGGCTCGGACAGCACCCTGTCCTCAGCCAGTGGGAGCCTGGCCTACCAGGGGCCTGGTGCCGAGCTCCTCACCCGCTCACCGAGCCGCAGCAGCTGGCTGTCCACTGAAGGGGGTGAGTAAGCACAGGCCTCCACCCTGGGGAGCAGGGTGCTGGCTCTCCCCTTGGGTGATGGTGAAGACCTGGGGCCAGGAAATGGGCTTCTCTTCCTGGGAGCTAACTGGGTGTGTTTCCTCTACAGGCAGAGAGTCTGCACAGTCCCCCAAGCTGTTCACCCACAAGAGGACCTACAGTGATGAGGCCAGCCAGATGCGCACGGCTCCTCCTCGGGCCCTTCTTGACCTTCAGGGCCACCTGGATGCTGCCTCCCGCTCTTCGCTCTGTGTCAATGGGAGCCACATTTACAACGAGGAGCCCCAGGCCCCTGTGCGGCACCGCAGCTCCATCTCGGGCTCGTTCCCATCCTCTGGCTCCTTGCAAGCTGTCTCTTCCCGGGCCTCCGAGGAGGGGCCTCGCTCCACAGATGACTCCTGGGCCAGAGGCAGTCGTAGCAACAGCAGCTCAGAGGCGGTGCTTGGACAGGAGGAGCCTAGTGCTCAGGCTAAAGTCCTGGCCCTTGGGGCCAGCCGCCCTGGAGAGGAGGCAGGGGCCCAGCTGCCAGAGGGCAAGCCTGTCCAGGTTGCCACACCCATAGTGGCCTCCTCTGAGGCTGTGGCAGAGAAGGAGGGATCCCGGAAGGAGGAACGCAAGCCCCGGATGGGCCTCTTCCACCACCACCACCCGGGCCTAAGTCGGAGCGAGTTGGGGCGCCGAAGCTCTCTGGGGGAGAAGGGGGGTCCTGCCCTGGGGGCCTCCCCACATCACTCGTCCAGTGGGGAGGAAAAGGCCAAGAGTAGCTGGTTTGGCTTGAGAGAAGCCAAGGAACCAACTCAGAAACCCAGGTATGTCCTTGGCAAGACCAGCTTTGCTCCTTGGGGAGGATGCTGGGGTGTGTGCTGCCTGGACCCTGGGGCAGGGAGGAGGGAGCAGATGTGAACTTCAGGCAGGCTGCTGGGGCTCTGGCTTTGCATGGTTAAGTGGGGGTGTCTCCCTAAGCCAAGTTTTCTTCTGTGCGCACGGATACAGGTGAGTTACCGGGGCACAGTGCTCTGAGAATCCCATGGATTGAGGGGTCCAACTTCTCAGCCCTAGGCCTTGCTGCATGAGTTGGCATGCCCACCCCCTGAGCTGGAGGGAAGCAGGGAAAGGCCATTTGTGTGAATTCTTTGCTTCCTGACCTCTTGCCCTCTGGCCTCAAGGTAAGGAAGCCATGGCAGTAGAGAGACGAGAACTGGAGACTGCACCCTCAGACTTCCCTCCCTCTCTGGAATTAGAGGACCTCTCCCCAGCTGTCTCTGTGATCACTTCCCTCTGGGAGACAGGAGTCAAATAACTGAGGCCTCCACCCCTTCCCCCATACATTCACCCCGAGTTGCTTCCCAGCCTGGCAAGAGGCTGTGGGCAGCTCCCATGAAATTTCTAGCCCATCTCTGTCCTTGGAGATGCTGGGGGCTCTGGCCCTCTCTGGTGTCTCTTGGTCTTGAGGTGTGGCATTGTGGGAAGTGCTGGCAGCAGCTGCTCCATTTTGAATGTACTGAGTCCCCCGGTTCAGGTCCTGGGCAGAGCCCTTAGCCCCTACCCTTTGCTTCCTCTTAACTCTGAGCCAGGGGAGCCTGCAGAATTGCATAGCAGGATCCAGGGAAGGACTCCAGGCACAGGTCACAGAAGCGTGTGTCCCACCTTCCCAAGGGCTTGGGGCCAGCCGCTGATGGGCAACATCTGTAGCAGCCCTGGCTCGTGTGGCGAGGGCCACTGTTTCTCAACAAACCTGCCCTTCCCACTCCACGGCTGTGTGGACAGGTTTAGAGGACAAGCACAGTAGCGAGGGGGCAAAAAGCAAGTAGTGAGGGTCAGAGGAAGGACCCTAAACCTGCTGCCCAGAGGGGAGAGGAATCTTGTAATCCTGGCTTTTCCTTTCCCTGTGGCACTCTGAGTCTGCTGAGAGGAGTGGAGGGAGACATGCAGGTCTTTCTAGGTTTGGGCCAGGATAAGCTGGCAACCCGTTAGACTCTTATAGACAGGGGCATGGGGAGTGGATCAGTTTCAGGGGCATGCCACCCCCTGCCTCCCTTGCTTGGTACAGCAGCCCCTGTCCCTCTGCCCAGCCCCATACTCACCAGAGCCCAGGCGAGCTGCTTGCCATCTGCGGGGGAAGATTGGGAAGAAGGGGACAGGCCTTTCCCAGGTGCCGGGCTGAGCCTGGTGGCCCTGTGACTGCCAGCCAGTGGTATTTGGAGGTGGTAGGTAGGGTAGAGGGAGCTGGCAGGAGACCTGGACAGGACATTTGCTGGGAGGAGCTGAGGGCCTGGATTGAAAGGGTCACAGACCATGGGCTCAGTGTGGTTGTTTGTACGGTGTCTCTGGGCCTTTTCTGGGTCAGGGCAAATGCTGCGGCCATTTGCAGGTGAGTGCCCAGGCTTTGGGCTTGGACTCCCGCAGGCCTGACTGTGAGTCTGTTGGGTTTTCACTAGCCTGGGGAACTTACACTCTCCATCCTCTTTTTCCTCCTTCCCCATGTTTCCTAATGGTCTCTTGGAGTCTGGTGGATTTGGGTCACTGATGGCCATAAGGAAGCTGAGGTTTCTGTCCTTCCCTCACTTGAATTCTGAGCATTATCTTTAGCAGGATGGAGGGCACTCAGCATCCCTCCCTAGATAGGGTCCATTTGCAGGCCGCAGCTGCAGGGCCAGGCTCTGTGGCTGTGCATTCAGATGGGGTGGGAGGGGCTGTCAGACGTGACACCTGGCCTTTGAGCTCAGTCAGCAGCATCCTGGCCTTGTGTGCCTTGCAGAGGGGAAGGGTGGCCTGGAAGAAAGGACTGTTGGCGCTTACCCTGAGGGCTTGCTTAGGGCTCCTGAGAAGAGGCGAAGTGGGCTGCCTCATGGCAGGAAACTGTGGGTTAGACCCAGAACTGGAGTGACTGAATGTAGCTGCCGGATCTCCAGCTGGGGCCTGGGGAGCCTGTCCTCAGGTCTAGAGACTGGGGGCCTCTGCCCTGGGGCTATGGTTGCAGATTGCGGGATGTTCTTCACTGGCAAGAACAGCGGCGCCCTCTAGTGCTCCCGTGTGGCACTGATGCCCCACAGAGAGGCCTGAGGCTGAACGTATTGAGTGCAGTATCCAGAGAAAGGCTACTACCACTGGGAAGGAATGAACGAGGCTATGCAGGGCGGAGAAGAGGCTCCCGCTGTTCCTCTGACTTGGCCTTTGTCTGCTGGGGCCCATGGTGGTCACACTAGGCCCCTACCAGTGTGTGCTGGAGCGGGTAGTAGGTAGTTGAGACAAAGCTTGTCTCAGCCACAGGACTTAGCCTTGCTCCCCGCCCTGTTATGAGCCATTCACACTGAGCCGCATTACAGGCTACTTCGTGCGTGTTTGAGGACAGGCAAGACCTCGCATGTGAAACCCGCCAGGGCCAAAGTGGATTGTCTTTGTGTCTATCCCAGGTTGTGCTGTGTTCCCCTGATCCCTGCCCCCCACACTAACTGTAGGACTCTATGCACAGAAGGGGATCAAATGTGGATTACAAAAACTTTTAAAGTTGGAAATAAGTGTGGTACAAAGAGGTACATGTATCATTATGGTGGCCTCTGGCAATCTCTGCAGTGCTTCCCCGAACCAGGTGTGGTAGGCAGCAAGGTCCCTGTGGGCCTGGAATGTGCTGTGGCAGTGCAAGGAACTTGGCTGCATTCTTGGTGGTGTAAATGAATAACTCTCATGTGCGCCCGGCGGCTTGTAGTTAGTGCAGCCTCACGTCCTGTTTGCGCCTGTTCTCCTGGCATGGTTACTGTTAATATTAACAGTGTTCTGGTTTGGAAGATAAATGATACGCTTTCACTACTTACAGCTTAAAAGGTCCCTCTGTCACCTCATGGTGCCCAGGTGATGGGAGAGGATGTCTGTCTCTTGGACATGTTTTCTGGACATTGGGCCCATCTCAGGAGGGTAAGGAGGTCATGCCTCAGGAGGAAAGGCTGAAGGCATGTTGCTGAAGGTGGGCGTGCCTTCAAGGCTGGCTTTGGCCTTTGGGGGTTTGCCTGGTAGGGAGCCTGTGCAGATCCACTTGCCATCTCTGGGACCAGTGTGTGGAAGAGACACACTAAGGAAGAGGAAGCCTAAGGAATTGCTGTCCACTAGTGACACCTGGCCTTCAGTTACAGAGGTAGCCCTGCAGAGGCAGAGTGTTTAAGAAAAGGGGATGTTGGGCTGAACAGGTGGTTCCTGTGTTGAATAGCAGGTTTAACCAATTGTTCAAAGCTTCCTGCAGGCTGTAAAGTTTATTCCCTTAGGTTGAGGGAGCAGAGACATCTGGACTTCTGACTTCCTTCCCAGCATTTGGTCCAAAAAGAGAACACAAGTCAGCATATGTTACTGCCCCCACCACTTGGGGTTGGGGAGACTGTGCCAGGCCGGCACGGTAGGTTCTAGGATGCAAAGGTGCTTGTTTGTTCTCAGAGCACGGCCTGCAAAGACAAGTGCACGTGGGAATATGTTCCTGACCCGGGCCAGGCGGAATGGGAGTGAGATGCTTTGAAGTGAGAACCTTCAGAATGTTTACTTGGTGTGGAGCAAGGGAGAGGAAGGCATGAAGGAGGGATGTGTTACCAGATAGGCAGGTGGACAGGATGCTCTCAGAAGTGCTGCTGGCTCAGTAAAGCCTGCCAGGCCCTGTGCTTGGAGTCCCTTCCTCCAGGGAGAGCCCTTTGTTGATTCCATGCCAACAGGTTTATGTGTACCTCTGGGGAGCTGGTGGGGAGGAGGGAGGTTGTCGAGCCTAACCTGGGGCTCCCAGTCTACTTTGCTGCCACTCTTGTCCCTGCAGTTCTGACTGCCAGCCAGATTTCTGAAAGACTGCAAGGGTGAGTGCAGGCCAGGCCAGGGCTGAGGAGGCAGAGCTAAGCTTGGTGCTTTTAATGTTGATGGGACTCTCTTCCTTAAAGGGGGCTGGGTAGAGAAGTAGCTCAAAGTGCTCTAGCCCTATTTCTGGGGGCCCCGGTCCTATACGCAGGGTTGGGCTGAGTGCAGTGTGGATGCTGTAATGGTGAGTGGGCTGAGGTCAGGCTCTTGAACTACTGGTGGTGTATGTTGCTTCTCACTCCCCTTGGTCCCCAAGGCTGGTATGTGTGCCTTGGTCTGGGGCTTGTCTGGAATGAAGGGAGAAAGGACATCTGCTGGGGTTGAGGCTCTGGGCCCATGATTCTTCCTCTTTTGGTATCTTCACCATGTCTGTAGAGGCAGAGTAGTAGTGGGAAGCCCAGGTGGGGTGGGAACAGGTGGGAATTTTTACTTCCCTCTCCCTCCAACTCTAAGTGGAGGGGATGAGACTGAGAATTTGGGGTGGGGGGTTATTTTAAGGGGGAAAATAGGGGTGGGGGGTTATTTTAAGGGGGAAAATAGGGTCAGGAGACTCTCTGGAAGCTCATTCTTATGAGAAATCCATGGGTTTGGGCCCCAGCTGTGGTCTGCCTGTGAGGCTGACCTCCCAGATCCCAGAACCGTCTTTGGAGCCACCTGTGATGTTTGGCTGGATTCCTTCCTGTGGTCTGCCCCTGGCGGTAGCTGCCGAGCTGACCTGCCTCAGCCCAGCTCTGTGTGGGCCTGCCTTCTTTGGGCCCTGGGTTCCCAGGAGAATCTGGGCAAGCTCTAGACAGCTCATCCTCTTTCCACAGGTGCCCTTCCTACCCCAAGCCACACTCCTTATGGGCTGGCTGGCTGAGCCTGGCTTCTGCCCCTTCAGGACTTAGTGCCCCCATTTCCTATGGAAGAAGCTGATTGGCTTGAAAAGATGGCTGTGTAGGAGTTTTCTCAGGATATTTCCACCTGGACAGGCAGGAGCCAAGGAATGGGGTCCTGGAAGCTTAGAGCCAGGGCTGGGAGACCAGCCGTGAGGAGGGAGACTGCCCAGAAAGCGGAGGTTGAGGCCACTGAGGTCTGCCTCTGACAGGTGGCTCAGTGGCAAGGCAGCCTTCTGTCTGTGTCCTGGGGAAGTGAGAAGCACTAGTTTGAGAGCACACCCCTGCCCAAATCTCTAGAGTTGGCTGCACTCTGTAGATAAGCACCAGTGCAGGGAGTGTTCCTCCCAGAAAGGACCCTGCCCTGGACACTTGAAGGCCAGCACCTGTTCTCCAGTGTCCTAAGAGGACCTGCCCTGTCCCCATCCCCAGAGTCCCTGAGAAGCCCCTGGTGACATCCAGAGTTGCTGCTGCCACATTGCCAACCTTGGGAGACAAAGGCTGGACCGTCAGGGCACCTGTTGATTGGCATTCTCCACAGGTAGCTTATCTTCATTAGTCAGTCAGGCTGCCCCTCAAAGAAATGAGACACCTTTTTACACCTGATGACAGCCTGTCATTACTTCCTGCTTCTGCAGGTGACCAATAGAACCCAATCTGTTTCAAATATCAGAATTCCAGGTGCCCTGCGAGGTGCTGTAAGTGCTGGTTTGTCCAGATTCCTAGGCCTGGCCTTTCTCTGGTCTCTTTATTCCCCCATGCCAGCTGGTGTTTCCTTTGCTGTTAGTCCTAAAAGGTGCCAGGCACAGTGGCTCATGTTTGTAATCCCAGCACTTTGGGAGGCCGAGGTGGGCAGATCATGAAGTCAGGAGTTCGAGACCAGTTTGGCCAACATGATGAAACCTTGTCTCTCCTGAAAATACAAAAATTATCCAGGCGTGGTGGCACACGCTAAGGCACCAGAATGGCTTGAGCCCAGGAAGTGGAAGTTGCGGTGAGCTGAGATCGCACCACTGCACTCTACCCTACCCTGGGTGAGAGACAGACTCTATCTTAAAAAAAAAAAAAAAAGGATGTAAGGCACTTTCTGATTAGTTTTCCTAGATGTAAATTCATTGTTGAGTAGAACCTTAGAAGCTTCAACATGGGGTAGAGGGAAGAACACTTGGTTTAGGTTTGGATCCTGCCTGTCAAATGGGGTTTGAGTGAGGATTAACATAGCTCTGCCCAGCATCTTTCTCCTTGAGAGGCACTCAATAATGTTACATGTTGGGGTCCTCCCTGTGTCCCCTGGCCCATGTAGGTAAATCCAGCCCTTGTATGTGTTGTGGCCCCTGGTCCCTAGGTGGGGGTGGGATGTGGGACTCAGGGGCCTTTCCAGTCTTGGCATTAACCAGGAGGCTCATGGTTTTGTCTCCCTCCACAGCCTGGACGTGTCTCCTCAGGTAGAATCTGACCCAGCTGCTCTTCCTCACCACCTCCCCTGCTCCCCCTGGGCTCTGGCCCCCCCCACTCCTGCTCCCACTGCTGCTCCCATGCTAAGCACTAACCTTTTTGCAGCCACCTCCCCCGCTGCTGCCACTGCCGCTGCCACCACCACCACCGCCGCCCCTGAAGCCACCCCACCTGGATTCTTGGGTCTCACCAACCCATTCCTCACCTCTTTGCAGAGCAACCCCTTCTTCGAGGAGCTCATAGCCGACATAGCACTAAACTCTCCTTCACCTGCTCCCTCTCTCCCCAGTGCCTCGAGGGCCAGCCCCACCCCCCTGGCCTCCCCTGGGAAAGCCCTGCCTGAGTGGGACAACACCTTCAACGTCTTTGCTGCCAGCAGGCTGCGTCCAGAGGCCAGGAGCAAGATCCTGGCCCCTGCAGGAGTGGGGCTGGAGGCGGCAGGGCTGCAAGACCCGGGCATGAGGGCCATGACTGTGAAGGCAGCCGAGCCCGAGGGAGAGCCCGGGGGAGGAGGAGGAAGAGGTGGGAGCAGCATGTGGCTGGAGCCCAAGGTTCCTCTGGACTTAGGACTGGACCACCAGAGCACGAGTGCAGCTGACCTGGGGCCTGTCGGTTCCGTAGGGACTGGTGTGCCCGCCTCGTCAGCTCAGCTGCAGCTGAGAGCCTCAGCCTCAGAACCAGACAGGGATCTGCCAGCCCTGGAAGGGGAAGAAGGGCAGAGCCCGGCAGACAGTGGGACATCTCTGTTTAGCTCCCCAGAAGTGATCAGTGTGTGGGAGAGGCTGCCGGGCCCAGACAGCGCTGCTGAGGGCCAGGACGATCAGGCCTCCCAAGGCGAAAACCAGCTTTGCCCTGACATCGAGACAGCTGACGATTCCTGGCCTTGGGATGTGGTCACCATTTCTCCTGCAGCTGAGATGGTGTTTCAGGGAGAGTCCGATGAGCCTCTACCCCAGGTGCAGCCTGAATCGCCAGAAACTGTGAACCCCCAGGGGAGCGAGGGGCTTCCCCCACTGGAGCCTGAGCCTAAACCTGAGTGGGTGTCTGATGAGGGGCTACAGCCCAGCACCCCACCTCCCAAGCCACCGCGCCTCTTCACACCCTCAAGATCCCAGGAGCAGAAGGCCACAGAGGGGCTGAGTAACAGGGGGTCAGAGACAGAGGGAGAAGATGCCTCCCCAAGTGCACTGGTTGTCAGTCCCCCAGAGACAAAGGAGGAGGGAGAGAAGCCCGAGTCGGAGGAGTCTGACAGCCGCTCCTCTGCAACCCTGCTGGACCAGCCTGGCCTGGAAGAGCTAGTGGAGGATGCTAGCCCCACTGTGTCTGGTTCCTGCCTCTCTGTGCCCACCAGCTGCCCTGAGGGTCCTGCCCTCATACTGTGTCACTCAAAGAGCCTGGCTCTTCAGAGTCAGCAGTGGTCTCTAGAGATTAGAGAAGGCCCTGAGGATCCTGAGGCCCAGGGCCAGGGTCCAGTAGGAGAGGGGCTTGGGTCCCCATCACTTACCTCCCAGCAGGCTGATGTGTGGGTCTCCAAGGAAGATGCTTTGAACCCCTTCTTGTTTCAGGGGAGCCGAGATCCTCCCAGCCTCTCATCTGCATCCCCACCAGGGTCCAGGGAATCTTCTATTCATTCTGGCCCAGAAGAGCTGCCCACTCCCCCAGAACCTGACTTTCCACCGCCCCCTCTCCCGCCTTGGGCCAGCCACCACCGTGGGGGGCCCAGCCCTCCGTGCTCTCCCCTGTCTGGAGCCTGGCCCCTGACCTCATCCTCCTCACCACCAGGGGAGCCAGCCTCACTCCCTGGCACCCTTGAGCCCTCCCCACCTGGGGGCTCCCCTGCCCCACTTGGGGAGGACCTCGCTGCAGCCACCCCAGCCTCCCCGCTTGTGCTTCTGCCCTTGGAGACACGACCAGCTGAGGAGCTGCAGCCCAGTGCCAGGTGAGCATCCACCCCTGAGAACACTGTCTAGGAGGAAGAGGGTGGACGGGGGCAGAACAGCCCAAGGGACTGAGGGTTCACACTCCAGCCTCATCCTTTGTAGGGGCAGGTGAGGGTCTCTTTTACCCCAGGGATGAGACGGTACAGGCTTTGAAGACATGAGCTTTCTGTGGTACCACTTCTGAAGCTGCCTTCTTGGGACCTGGGATAATCAAGGCAGACCCCCACAAGCCAGGGGTTTGGAAAACAGAACTGATGAGGTGCAGGGCATAAGGAATGAAGTGAGGAGAGCCGATGTGGGCTGGCAGGGAAGGACAGCTGTGCTGTGGGCCTTTCCGGAGCATGTACACTTGGCCACAGGGGAGCTGGGGGTGAGGGGCAGTGGAGCTTGTCAAGTACGGGGCAGTTCTTGGGGCAAACCATGGGAGAGCAGCCTGGCAGTGGAGGCTTGAGCAGTTTCCTGTTCAGCTAGAGTGAGGGTACAGCTGGGGAAGGCAGAGAGCCAGAGGAGGGACCAGCACTTAGTTCAGAAAAGAAAGCTGGAGACAAATTCAGAGGAAAAAAAGGAAAAACTAAAACACTTCCACATATGTAACTGTCAGAAGAAAGGTTTTCCACCCTCAGCAGTTGCTTCGTTGGTTTGCATTTGGTGCCTTTCAGGGGGTGGTTCCGATGCACTTAGGACTGCTGAGTGGACAGCAGATATCTGTGTGGCCGTACTCACTGTGGCACTGGTATGTTTGGAAGAATTATGAAGCTGTGACCTCACCAGGTAGCTGGTGAGGGGTGATGTGAGCAGAGGCCTGGAGACTCAGGGCACTGGGAGGTGAGGGGTGTGACTTAGAGGGTAGCAAGTCCCTCTGGGACGGTAGTGCTCTAGGAGGACCAAGTGAAGGAGGGGAGAGCGGGGCAGGGCGTGGGGCTTGGGGAGCAGGATAGGCTCCAGCACTGGCCTCCCAACCAGGCACTCATGTTTCATCATCCACATTCACTGAGCATCTTACTATGTGTCAGACACTGAACAGATGAAATACACAGTCCCCACTCTATTCCCAAGGAATGTCCAGTCCACTGGGGAGGATAGGGTGGACCCAAGAAGGGAAGAAGCCCCAGGGGGCCAGCACTACATATGGGGACTGGGTAGGAGGGAGTCCAGGCTGCCCCCAGCATCCCTCCCTGGTGGGGGAGAGGACGTAGGGGAGCTGGTGGTTGCAGTGTCCTCGGCTGGCCCTGCTGCCTGCCAGTATGACCTCTAATCATACTTGCCACTTTTTATAAGTCTCAGTCTTCCCAGAGTTGGCTTCATGGCTGTATTGGGCTTGTTCCTTCTATCATGAAGTAGATGGGCCAAATAGAGCTGTCTCATTCCTCAAAGGAGGAAATAGAGGCCATGAAAGCTGCAGGGTTTAGGATCCCGGATCCCTCTGATGTAGGGGGCAAACAAGGCAAGGCCTCCAGGTCCCTCATTCAATGCACTTTTATGCTACACTGGTCATCCTCCCCTTCCCTGGCACAACCCATAGGTGGCATTAGAGCTGCTTTTACACCCCATCCCTAGCACAGGCTCCTAGGTGGCAGGAAAGGACTGAAATGCATTCTTTTTCTGTACTGTCTGCCCAGAGCCTGGGTGCTCTGCCACTCTTCCCGATTTGTGAGAATAAATACATAGATCTAGTCTGGGTGACCCTTCCTTCAGTGGAGTTCAGGGCCTTGGACTAAGCCATTTTGCTTTCTATTCCTGAATGGTCTAAATCCTCTGTGAAGTAAGCATAGATTTGTCAACTATCTTGGACAGGATAGTTGATTTAGGGGCCTGATGCAATTTATGTTACAGTTTATGTAACTGTCACAGGGTGCTGGAGGATCCCAGAGGAGGGTCATCTCAGCCTGGAGGAATCCAGAAGGCTTCCTGGAGGAAGTGGACTTGCACAACTGTGAAACATGAGTAGGAATTAGCCAATGGGAGGAAGAGGCAGTGTTGTTTCATACAGAAGACTAGCTTTTGTAAGAGCTTGATAAGAATGTGGCTGGGGGAGTAGCAGACCATGAAGAAAGGGCAGGGGCCAGATTGTGTTAGAGATAGTATTTTCTTACCTTGATCGATGCCATTAAAGGATTCTCAAGCTTTGGAAAAGCTGAGCCCACTATCCTGCAGCAGAATGGTTGGAGGTGGGCAAGACTGAGATGGAGCAGCTGATTTAGTGGCTGTGGCTGGAAGAAAGGTTTAAGCAGTGGCCTAGAGAGGAGCAGGGTGGCTTGAGAAGGCAGGAAGGTAGCAGGGCTTGATTGTTAAGGTTGAGGCTGAAGAGGATGAGCCAAAGGGACTCCCAGGCTTCTGACTTTCTGACCTGAGCCAGGGGAGGCCAGAGGTGCTCCTCACTGCTGGGGCAGCGCAGAGGAGGTGTGGCGGGGAATGGGATGCACCTGAGGGGAAACCCAGGGAAGCAAGCCAGCCTGCACCTGACTCTGCAGGTCTAGGGTCCAAGGGGTGTGGTCTGGGCTAGAGATGGAGATTAGGGGGTCGTAGGAGCCAGGGAGGAGGAGAAGAGAGAACCCAAGGGCAGACTAGCAGTTAAGACTGAGAAGGGGCTGTGGGGTCAGAAGACAAGATGGAGGTCTTTAAGGGAAGGGGAGGCAAGCAGTCTAAAGGAAGGAGTGGTCTAAGTGTCAACTCCCAGAGGTCAGTGAGGTGAGAACCACTCACTCAGGGCTTAGTGACCTCAGCAAGTCCACTTGTGGTGGGCTGGTAGGGACTGACGTCCTGTTCTAATGGGTTTGGGAGTCAGTAAAAGGTAAGAAGTTAGACAAATGTAGTCTCCATGCTGTGGAGGCTTGGGTGAGCAGAAAGGGGAAGGTGACTGGGAGTGATAACTAGAGCAAATACAAGGTCAAGGGAGGGTTTTGCAGAGCTGTGGAAACGCCGATGGGAAGCAACCCATAGAGAGAGCTGGGTGACTGAGGGTCCCAGTTTGCCCAGGTTTTAGCACTGGGAACCTCACAGTCCTGGCAAAACTGGGAACTTGGGAGGGTTGGTCACCACAGTAGAGAAAGGTTACAGTAGAGAAGAGGATGGAGGGAAGATGGCTAGAGGAGGGCATCACTGACAGAGGCTGGGTGCAGGTGCAGAGGATTCTGTAACATGGCCTCTGCTGTCCCCATATAGGGGCCAGATCACCAGGTGAATGAGGGAGTGAAATGGGGAGGGAGCAGATGGTGGGGTGGGGATTGAGGCCAGCCCAGGGGGGTTGCTGGACACGGGTTGCACTACAGCCCAGGAGTACTGGACACGGCTGCCCGAGACCTTGATTCTGTAGGGGCAGCCACCACCCAGTGCTGGGCTTTTTGCCCAGCAGACCGGGAGGCTCCCAAGGGAAGGCTGCCCCACCTTTGACCCATGCCACCCTTCTCTCCGCCTAACCCATCTCTTGTACAACTTTGCAGTCCCCACCCTGTGAAGCCCCTCAGTGCCGCTGCTGTGGAGGGCAGCCCCGACAGGAAGCAGTCCCGCTCCAGTCTGAGCACAGCCCTGAGTAGTGGGCTGGAGAAGCTCAAAACAGTCACATCTGGGAGCATTCAGCCTGTGACCCAGGCCCCTCAGGCTGGCCAGACGGTGGACACCAAGAGGCTGAAGGTAAGGCCCAGCAGGGTGTGGGGGGCATCTGGGCTTGGTCCTGGGGAGGGCGGGGCAGTGAGTAGGCCAGGTCCCCCACACCAGAGTCCTGAAGCCAGTTAGGCCATCTCTGGCATTGGAGACAGGCAGCCCAGGGCCCTGTGGTGGTGAAACTTAGGTATTGGTGGGCAGGCAGGTGGGCAGTCAGGCAGGCAGGCCTGGAGCTGCCCTGCTCACTGTCTTCGGTCTGGCCGCAGGACTCAGCTGTGCTGGACCAGTCGGCCAAGTACTACCACCTGACCCACGATGAGCTCATCAGCCTGCTCCTGCAGCGAGAGCGGGAGCTGAGCCAGCGGGACGAGCATGTACAGGAGCTGGAGAGCTACATTGACCGGCTTCTGGTGCGGATCATGGAGACCTCACCCACGCTGCTGCAGATCCCTCCGGAACCCCCCAAATAGCCTTCCTCACCCCACCCCCAGGAGGGTTGGCGTGGACCTGCTGCCGCCTGCCCTCTGTCCTGCTGAACTCTCATCTGTCCTGAGAGTGTGGCGGGGCATCATCTGTCCTGCCTCATCACTCCTTGCTCCCCTCTCCTGTGTCAACTGGGGCTGCTGGAAGGGGGGTGCTCTGGATTCCCTCTGGAGGCATCAGGTTCTGTGCACAACTTGCTTGTCTTTGGGAGCCCTGGATCTTTCCCACCTGCCTATTTTGAAACTCTTCCCCCCAAGACAGAGCAGGGGTGAGCTGTAGCTTGATGCGGTATGTGGAACAAGGCTGGTTGCTAGCACATACTTTATTATGCCGCAAGGATGGTCAGCCATTTCTTCCCACAGCCAAACTCCCATCCCCTTCATTTTCCTCCAGTCTCTGGATGGGCTTCTAGTATTACTGGGACAAGGACCACGCTGCCTGTTGGTGAGTTATGGGCAACCAGGGTGCCTGCTCTTCAGCCTCACACCCATTCCCCTGAGGGCAAGGAGCCTGTGTGATCTGGGCCAGTCTCTGCTATGTCCTGAGTCTGTTTCAGTCTCGACCTGTCTGTCGGGTGAGTGCTGTGTGGACAGAGGTAGATGATGTGTGTTCTTTAGGTTGCTCCCTACCTCCTCTGACCTTCCACAAGTGTCACATGGGAATGTGTGGGGTGCAGGGGCAGGTGCAGGGAGAGCTCCTTCTTGTTTTTCGAGCTCTTGCCCACCTCCAACATCTAGGTCCCTGCAGGCTGGGGCTTGGGACTGCTTATGTTTTGGGGATCAAGCCTCCGTGTCTATTCTTGTTGCCTGTCCAGATGCCAAAACTCTGTGTTGCTGTAGGGTTTGAACTTTTGGAAACCAATTAAAATGTGCCTTTTGTGGGCAGGGTCAAGAGCCCTTGGATGTTGACCTCTCCCGCTGTGTGGTGTCCCCCTCCCACCTGTTGAATACATAGGGATGGCTCTCAGGGCCCTGGGAATGAGAATGGGTGGCCCTGCTGTGTGCTCTTCCCCTCTCCTAGAGTTAATCTCTTGGTCTGCCAAGTTACTGCTCCCTCAGCCTTCCTGCCATCTTCCTGTCTCTCAACCCCAATAGGAGGATCCCAGGATAAAAACTACTGCTGGGCAAGTGGGCAGGCAGGCCTAGGGATGCCCTGCTGACTCTCATTTTGTCTGGCCTCAGAACTTAGCCATGCTAGACCAGTCAACTTGCCTGTAAGTGGGAGGTCCCACTATATCATTGGGAGACACCTATACTTAGGAAAAAGCTTCTGTTGCCCTCCCATCCATCTACTAAGCTGCTGTCCCAGCCTGTCCTTCTGTCCCAGGACCTTGCCTGGTGTGGCTGCAGTGCACTTTGAAGTGAAGTGTCTGTCCTTTGGCCCAGCCCCTAGTTTGCTTGTAGAAAATACGGCAGGTTGGCCGGGTGCGGTGGCTCACGCCTGTAATCCCAGCACTTTGGGGGGCTGAGGCGGGTGGATCACGAGGTCAAGAGATCAAGACCCTGGTCAACAAGGTGAAACCCTGTCTCTACTAAAAATGCAAAAATTAGCTGGGCATGGTGGTGCATGCCTGTAGTCCCAGCTACTCGGGAGGCTGAGGCAGGAGAATTGCTTGAACCCGGGAGGCGGAGGTTGCGGTGAGCAGAGATCATGCCATTGCACTCCAGTCTGGGTAACAACAGTGAAACACCGTCTAAATAAAAAAAAAAAAAAGAAAGAAAATATGGCAGGCTTCCCCAAGGCATCTGTAAGGAAACTTGGTGGCTTGGGCCACCCTGAATTAGCAAAAATGGGGGGTGATGAGGTACTGAAGGAGGATACTTACGGCCTAGTGAGGAGGCAAGAGCTCATCTGCGACCATCGCTTCTTCAGGAGAGGGCCTGTGGGCTTGCTTGGAAGGCCTTGGGTAGACACAAGCCCTCTGGGTGATGTCTGTTTGCTGCAAGGATGGAGCAGAGGTGCGCCACACATGGAGGAAAGCCCCTGTAATGTTACTCATCAGAGCTGAGAAAAGTGTCCACTAGTCCCCAGGGCTTCAGTCATGCTTTTTGGCGGTCATTGGGCATTAAAGAAGTAAGTATCTTTTCTGAGAGAGGGGGATTCACCCACCTACTGGGTATTCATCTGGGCTTTATTCAGTCCCATCCCTGGCCCTGACCTTTGATTGTGGGCCTCCCTAATGCCCAGGGCATGGATGTCTTCAGAGGAGTTTTTGAATTGAAGCCCATGGTCCTTGTTGATGTTTCTTCTAGCCACACTTGGAGGAGAGTGGGCAGGGAGCAGGCATGGTTCTGATTTGCTGTTTGTCTTCCTACTTGTAACTCCTGTTTATAAAGAGCTTGTTCTTCATGTTTTAAGCACTTTATGAAGAATAAAACATTCATGTACTGCATGTGGCTCTTGTGTTCCTGTTTTGGAAAGAACAGGTACAGGAGGCTGCTGTGGGAGAAGGCACCTTAAATCCAGGTGATGAGATTCTTGGATGACACTGTCCCTGCCCTGACATCAGGGGGCAGTAGCACAGTGTTGCCCAGTAGCCTGAACTGAGTCTTTTCTTACTCCCAGGATACCCACATTTCTTGGGCACTTAAGATGGTCCCATTTATTGGTAATACAGAGGGTAAAAAATAGATTCCTATTCTCAAGTTGCATGGTCTAACGGGGGAATATAAGACAGAGATCTAAAATACAAATTGTTCTTCAAAGCTAGCTAGAATCTCCCTCCAACTTTATGAAAAGTGTTTCTTGTGGTTCAACTACTAGAGGATGAAAAACTTTGCTACAGCTCATGCAGTGTCCAGAAGCACTGGCAAACATGAGCCAACTCTGCATGTCACCTTGAGACTGAGACCCAAAGTAGGGTTTCCTAGAGTCAAGACCAAATATTTCTACTGTCATCTTGGGTAGAACAGGCAGCTCCCCAACTCCCCCAGCCTGGGCCACGGATCAGGTAATCCAGCTGGGAATATTCAGTTAATCCATTCTGCAACTGTGTGTGTTTATTATCCATGTTCGTGCTTACTTCACAATCTGTAGTACTCCCGCTTACCTAATGCCCTCCCCACCCACCAGTCCCAAGTTCTCCTGCTCAGGAATTAGGTTTAGGAGGGATCTTCCTTGGTTTGCCAGAGAAGGTGAAGGCTGCCAGGGCCCTAAGTCCCCACTGATGAACTCACAGCCAACACATATTTGAGTCTGTACTGTGAGCTCTCTTATGTCTGGCTCTGAAGACATAGTGAATTATAAAATCACAGTCCCTGCCCTGTGAACCTTACAGTAAGAAAGACTGTCTAAAATAGTAAGTAATCGTGAATGCAAAAGATAAGTGCTGGGTGCCATGGAGCCTGTATGGGATTTTGTGGAAGCAGAGTGATAGACTAGGAAATGCAATGTTTAGGCTGAAGCCAGAAAGAGAGCCAGCATCAGGTGAAGATTTAGTCTTCTGGTTACAGAATGTTAAGGGGTCGGAGGGGGAGGGGCAGGCCCCAGTATGCTCCAGGAACTGAGTGTCAGTCAGGGTAGCTGGAGAGCACAGGCGAGTAGGCAGGGTGGCGATGGAGGAAACTAAGAGAAGGTTCCGCAGTGCAACTCCCTGCAGAAAGCCTTCTGATGTTAACCCTACTCCGCCTGGAGTCTTTGCCCATCGGGTGCAGGTCGGGCCCGCTCGAATGGGACCCTACTGGGCTGCCTGGCCTCGGGAGCGACGGCCACGGCAGCAACTTTAACTTCCGGGGGCAGGTAAGCAGCGAGGTGTAGCCCGTGGTCCCCTGTGGGGATCTCAGCGTCGACAGGAACACCATTTCTGGGCTGCCGACCTTGCACCTTGCAACGCGGGCGGCGGGCACCGAGACCTCTCTGTTCGGCCGCATCTCCGCAGTCTAGCGTTGTAAGCGCCATGACGCGAAAAACTACACTCCCCACAACCCCTTGCGCAGCTCTCGCTGCGGTTGCTTAGGGCCAATCGGGAGAGGCAGCTGTGGCGGGGGCCGAGGAGGGACATTTTAAAAGGGCCGGAGATTGCGGGCGTCAGTGGCCATGGCGGATACAGCGACTACAGCACCGGCGGCGGCAGCTAGTGCCGCTAGCGCCTCGAGCGATGCACCTCCTTTCCAACTGGGCAAACCTCGCTTCCAGCAGGTGAGGACCGGGCTGTGGTTTGCGGGCCAGCGGGTGGCAGAGACAGGGCCAGCAAACTCCCCGCCAAAGTCCCCTTCAGTCCCAGGGTCTCCCACCCGCGGCTAGCGGAGCCTGCAGCTAGCGCATGGGGGGGGGAACCTCGGCCACAGCCACCCCATTCCCATTGGTCAGTAGGGCGGGCTCGGACTCCCACTCTATCTTCCCATTGGCTTTTGGCGCCGTCATTCCCCGGCTGCCCGCGCCCTCTAGCCTTTCCCGCCCGCGGCGCCCTGTGATTGGCCGCCGCCGGCTGCGGTCAGGGTCCCGAGCGCCCCGCGCCGAGCGGCTGCTCAGGGTCTCTCCCGGCTGTGTGGCTGCCCGCCCGGAGCGCAAAGTTCTAGTCCGGCCCTGGATGGGAAGTTGGCGTGGCCGGGATGCCTTCTAACTTTTTTCTCCGGTGGGGACTGACGTTCCTTTCGAGCTGCTGGCGGAGCCGCCGGGCAGCGTCTCGCCCCGCGGTCATCCCCCAGCCCTGGCCCCCAAGCCGGGCCCGGCGCGCGCGGCGGGCTTGGGGGCGGGTGCCGAGACGAGAGGCGGCCCGGCGACCCCCGTGCCCGCGCCCCCTCGCGGGCTGAGGATTCGCTGACGCAGCCGGCCGGCCGCTGCCCTGCGGGGATGCAGCCCGGGCGTGCGGGGGAAACGCTGTGTCATCCCCTGAGGCCGCCCTCCCTTCGAGGGGCTCGGGAGCCCCCCGCCCCATCTCTCCCTTGCTGCGCCCTCTGCACAGGTCTCCCGCGCCTGGGCCCTTGCACCGCGGGGCACTGGCCCTAGGCAGACCCGCTGGTGCTCTTCGGGGCACGGCGACAGGGGTTCTTTCCCTCCGGGACCCCCTCTGGGTCGTCGCCGACTCGGTCTTGGTCTGCGGAGGCGGGGGTGGAACGCCGAGCCTGGGCGCCTAGCTGGGCCCGGAGCCCGAGAGGAGCCGCTCCCGCGCCCCAGACCCTCGGGCTCGCTAGCCTCCCGCACCAAGGAGACGGAGTTTATTAGGAAACGGACAGAGAGACCGCTGAAGTGAACCGGGGATTGCCAGGGGTGGGCGGCAGCCCAAGCGGCCAGAAAAGAACTTTGCAGGAAGAAAGGAAATTGTGCAAAGGTCGGTGCGGTGGCTTTTTTTTTTTTTTCTCAAATCGTGGTGGTTGAAGGGGGACAGGTTCCAGCAAAAGGGGGCCTCGAGCTTCTCTAATAATTAGGGAACTTGACTCCTGAGCCGTCTGAAAAAAAAGTCCCCAGTGTTTCTTAACAGGACTTTAATTCCTTTTAAAAGTAGGCCATCTCAGCATGTAGGTATCCAAGGCGAGACTGGCATCTTCCTTCCAGCATAGGAGGCCATCTAGGGTGAGATTGTTGGGATGCACACCTCTTGGCCAGCACACGTCTTTGGCCACCCTGCGTGGGATCCTCATAGCTCTGCATACAGTCTGCCCTGTGGTCCTCTAAATGTTTGCTGTGTGATGACTTGGTTTCCTCAAACCCCCTGCAGGCCTCTTGCCAGAAGGGGTTGAACTTGCCCTTCTCTGCCTCTGTCTTACCCTGATAGAGGCAGGTTAGGCATATAGTAATGTGCCGAGTAAAAGATTTGTGAGGTTTTTTTTTTTTTCCCCTCCAGGTGTCTTTTATCTGTATGTGGCACTTGGGACATTAAGTTAACCAACAGACATTTATCAAATATGTCTTAGTGGCTTAGATGACTGAGCCCTTTGCTGTGAGCATTGCTCTAGAGCCACAGATAAACATATGAGGTTACCTTGTTCCTGCAGCGATTGCGGTACTTCTTTTTGGCACCGCTCTTGAAGGCAGTAAAAGTATTTGTTTTATCCACTTTTGAAGCTCCCTCCTCCATCATAGTGACCTGCATAAAGCACATTACATGTGATTCATCCATGTTAAGGATCTTCTCTTTCCTCCACACCTGCTCCTCCTGTATGGCTCCCTGGCTCTGCAAGCAGCCCAACTTGCCACCCAATCAATGCAGTCAGAAACCTGGGAGCCGCCTGTGTTCTTTCCTTCTCCCCCACCCTCTAAATGGAACCAGAGACCCAGTGATCTTACCTCTTACACAGCTCTCAAGTCCACCCATCTCTACTGCCAGAATCCTGGACCAAGCTCTCGTCGTCTATTTCCTGGGCCACTGCAGTAGCCTCACAACAGGTCTTCCTACTTCCATTCTGGCCCTCTTCCAGCGCCTCCTCCCTTCCGGAAGGCAGTGTCCCAACAATACAGATCTGATCAAGGGACCCCCCCACCCCCTTGCACATTTAAGTACCCTCCAATGGCTTCCCCTGGTTCTGAGATAAAGACCTCACTTCTGAAGGGGCCCGAAAGTGTGCATGGCCCACCCCACTGACTACTTCTTCCTTAAATCACATCATCCACCCACCCACCCACCCATACCTTGCACCCTCCCTCACATCACATGGGCTGCTTTTCAGCCTCTGAACCCACCATGTTTCCTCCCACCACTGGGCCATCTGCTTGGAACATCACCTCTTCCTCTGTCCCAACTCTTGTTCCCACTCCTCCTCATCCCTGGTGTATCCATGAAGCATCACTTTCTTGGAGAAGCCTACTGCCACTCCCAGGTTGAATTTTTGACTGTTCCCTTACTGCAAAGCACCTATCTTGGTGTATACATTGATTTGTGATGATTATTTCCTTGCCATTTGTGTCTCCCTTTCAACTATGGACTTTGTGGAAGTGAGGGCTGTGCCTGCCTTCACTCCATGTTGACTCTCCCAAGGCTCAGCACAGTGCCTGGCAGTTAAGAGGTGCTTAATGAAAATTTGTTGTATACATGAATATCTTGGAGACAGTTCAGTAGGGCTTTGCAGACTTAAATTAAATTGACTTGTAAGATTGTGATTGGGGAGGTGGGCCAACTTTTTTCCAAATTCTCCCTTAGGGATCTTATAAAATTGCAGCCAAGTGGGGGCATGTTTGACAGTGTAAGATTCATCAGTGCTGAGACACCCCAGAGTTGGAGTGTCTCCTAGGAGGTGAGTCTGAAGACACAAAGGTCGGCCACATATGTGCTGGGTTGACGAGCTCTTTTAGGGTCCATCCTACATCTCTGTGTCCTGCCCTGGCATGTAATAGTTGTGTAATATGTGCTCATAGTACCTTGTGCTGACCTGACAGAAGCCTGCTTCAAGGTGGTTGATAATCCAGGGTTCATTCCTATTACCCATGCCAGGGACATGACTCTTGTTCCCCAACTAATCTCACCACTTTCTGCAGGATTTGGCTCCAAGGTCTTTCCTTATTCCCTGGAGTCACTCCAGAATTCTTCTTTACTTCCTCAAGGGTCTCCCTGTGCAAATGGACAGGGGGAGGAAGAGGGTGGAGGGTGTGGAGGATCAGAGGGTGAAGAAAGATGATGGGTGTTGGTCTGTGACCATCTTTCTCCCCATAAGATGGTGACGATAGCCAAGAATCATTCCATCCTTTTTGTGTATTATTCAGTTTTCACAACAACCCTGTGAGGCAGATGTAATGATCTTCATTTTATGTGTAATAAAACTGCAGCACACAAACAGATTAAGTAAATTCCCAGTCAGTCTGGCTCCAGAGTTCATGTTTGTTGGTTTATTTATTTGTTGTCAACTTTTTATTATTTTACAAACATATAAGTTTACAAACATATAAATCTGGAGACAGTTGTCAGTGAACCCTTATGCACCCATCATCCAGTTTTAGCAGTTGCCAACTTAAAGCCAACCTTGTTTCATCTATACACCCAACCCGCACAACTTATATCAATGAATTATTCTGAAGCAAAGCCCAAGCATCTCATCATTTCATTGAACCTATTAGTAGGTGTCTCTTAAAAAATAAAGACTCTTTACTTAGCTTTTTAAAAATAAACTTTTTTACTTTGGAATAATTTTAGACTTACAGAAGTCAAAAGACAATAGAGAATTCCTGCCTAGCCCTCATCCATTGTCCTCTATTATCGTCTTGCATTGCCACAATACATTTTTCAAAACTAAGAAACTAACATTGGTATGTTATCATTAACTACACTCCAGACTTCGTTGAATTTTACCGTTTTTTACATTAATGCCTCCTTTCTGTCCCAGCGTCCCATCCAGGAACATGATTTGCATTTAGTCATCATGTCTCTTTAGCCTCCTCTGGTCTGTGACAGTCATAGTACCTGGGAGTTTTTCCCAGACTTTGCTTGTTTTTCATGACCTTGACAATTTTGGAAGATTTTTTGTAGAGTGTCCCTCAACTCGAGTCTGCCTACTGTCTTGCTTTTGGGTAGACCAGAGTTATGGTTTTGTTTTGTTTTGTTTTGTTTTGAGACTGGAGTCTTGCTCTGTTGCCCAGACTGGAGTGCAGTGGTGCGATCTCCGCTCAGTGCAACTTCTGCGTCCCAGGTCCAGGTGATTCTCTTGCCTCAGCCTGCTGAGTAGCTGGGATTACAGGCACTAGCCATCACACCCAGCTAATTTTTATATTTTTAGTCGAAACATGGTTTCACCATGTTGGCTAGTATGGTTTCAATCTCGTGATCTGCCCCCATTGGTCTCCCAGAGTGCTGGGATTATAGGCATGAGCCACTGCGCCTGGCCTCAGAGTTATGGGTTTTGGGGTAAGTATATCACAGAGGTGAAGTGCTCTCTTTATCATATGATATTGGAGGGTTTTTTGATTCATTTAACATAACCATACCCTTAAAACACTTAAAATTATTATTTCTTTTTTAGAGACAGGGTTTCTGTCTGTCACCCAAACTAGAGTGCAGTGGAACAGTAGGGCTCAAGCAATCCTCTGGCCTCAACCTCTGGGTTAGCCACCATGCATGGCCATATTTATATATATATTTTTGTAGAGACAGGTGTCTTGCTATTTTGCCCAGGCTGGTATCAAACTCATGACCTCTAATGATTCTTCTGTTTCAGCCTCCCAAAATGCTGGGATTTACAGGCATGTAAATGAGCCACTGTGCCTGGCCCATTAATTCTTAATATCATCAAGTAACCAGTCACTATTTATATTTCCTTGATCATCACATAATTTATTTGTAGTTGGTTTGTTTGACTCAGGATCCCATAAGCCCCACATATGATTACCTTTGAGTATCTCTCTTTTGTATCTTTTATTTATTTTTTTGGAGACAGAGTCTCTGTCACCCAGGCAGGAGTACAGTGGTGTGATGTCAGCTCACTGTAACCTCCGCTTCGGGGTTCAATTGATTCTCCTGCCTTAGCCTCCTGAGTAGCTGGGATTACAGGTGTATGCCACCCCACCCAGCTAATTTTTGTATTTTTAGTAGAGATGGGGTTTTGCCATGTTGGCCAGGCTGGTCTCAAACTTCTGACTTCAGGTGATCCCCTCACCTCCATCTTTCAAAGTTCTGAGATTACAGGCATGAGCCACTGCACCTGGCCTTTTTTGTAATCTTTTAATCTGTTTGTTCTGTCTTCCTCTTTTCTCTTTATATATGTTGAAGAAATGGTTGTTTGTCCCTGTAGAATTCCCTCCTTCTCAGTGTAGCTGGTGGCATCTCTGTGATACTGGTTAGCATGTTCCTTTGTTCCTTGTGCATTTAGCTACTACCCCAAGTGCCTAGTCAAAGGGAAGAGAGGACAATACAGCACCCAGGGAACCTCTGAGAGCTAACTTTGCTTTTTTTCCTCTTCCTTTCTGCTCATTTACTCTCCTGAACTCACTGTTTTCCCTTCTGGCCCAGACACCATGTTTACCAAGTTGGGGCCTCAGGACAGGAAACAAACACACATACTTTCTTCCATTTGTGTTTCAGTCCATTTATAAATTGTTGTCCAGGGCCAGGCGCGGTGTGTCTCATGCTTGTAATCCCAGCACTTTGGCACTTTGGGAGGCCAAGGCGGGCAAATCACTTGATGCCAGGAGTTAGAGACCAGCCTGGCCAACATGGTGAAACCCCATCTCTACTAAAAATAGAAAAAATTAACTGGGCATGGTGGCAGGTACCTGTAATCCCAGCTACTCAGGAGGCTGAAGCAGGAGAATTGCTTGGACATGAGAGGCGGAGGTTGCAGTGAGCTGAGATCATACCATTGCACTCCACCCTGGGCAACAAGAGCAAAATTCCATCTCAAAAAAAAAAATTGTTGTCCAAGTGCAGTGGCTCATGCCTGTAATCCCAGCACTTTGGGAGGCCAACACAGGAGGATTGCTTGAGGCCAAGAACTTGAGACCATCCTGGACAATATAGTGAGACCCCATGTCTACAAAAATTTTGAAAACCAATTGAGCGTGGCAGCATGCCCTTGTAGTCCCAGCTACTTGGAAGGCTGGGGCAGGAGGATCCCTTGAACCCAGAAGTCTCAAGCTGGAGTGAGCTGTGATTACACAGCTGTACTTCAGCTGGGCAACAGAATGAGACCCTGTCTCAAAAAAAGAAAGAAGGAAAGAAGTTTTTTTAACAACTTCTGGCAAGATGTGGTGGCTCTGCTTGTAATCTCAGCACTTTGAGAGGTGGAGATGGGCAGATCACTTGATCCCAGAAGTTTGAGACAAGCCCAGGCAACATGGTGAAACCCTGTCTCTACAAAAAATATAAAAATTAGCCCTGTGTGGTGACACATGCCTGTAGTCCCAGCCACTACAGAGGCTGAGGTGGGAGAATCACCTGATTCCAGAAAGTAGCGGTTGCAGTGAGCTGTGTCATGCCACTGCACTCCAGCCTGAGTGACAAAGTGAGACTGTCTCAAAAACAAAAATTCCTTGCTCCTTTGGAAGTCTCATTTATCTGCTGAGATGACTGGGGGTATGAGTGTGCTGGGGACCAAGGCCTAGTTGAGCAGAGCAGGCTGGTTCCCCATGGATGCCTCTGGGACATGGAGAGCTTGCTGGGCAGAAAAATGCTTTCTTCACTTGAAGGTTGGAAGGTTTTTGTGGGCTGAGAGTTGGGAGGCAAGGGGGAAATTTCTCATAGTTTGCTTGAAATAAAGTTCTAAAATCATAGTACCCTGCAGGTAGTTATGTATTCTGATAATTTTCTTCCTATAGCTGAGACCGTGAGTTTTTTCTAGTGCTGTTCTTGGGCTGGTTTGTGCAGTGAAGAGGGGTCATCATTTCCAAGAGTCACACTGGGGAAGTTTTAAAATAGGCACTGATGCCTGGAGGCCACCTCCAGAGCAATAGAATCAGAATCCGTGGGTGTATGGCCTGGTTTTTGAAGTACCCAGGTAGTTCAGGGTGCAACTGATTCAGGACCTGGGCTGGCCCAGTGCCTCTGCTTTGGGCTGTAGGTTCAGTGAGTATATTATTCTTAATCCTGAAGAGCAGTAATTTGGAGGTCTGGTGTGTGTAGTTGGGGGGCAGTGTCAGCCTCTGGGATATTTGTCATCAGCTGCTGCTCCCAAGACCTGGTCTCCCTGGGGGGCCTGCAGATGGGAGAGAGCTGGCTGGTGGAGGTGGGAAGGCAGCTGCTGCCACAGGCCCTAGGCCCCTGCTGAGAATTAGCTGACTCACCTTTCTTGTGAAGGGAAAGAGAAGG